TTCATATTGTTTATATAAACTAGGTTTTGAATAATAGTATGTTTGTCAATTCAAAATCATAGGTTGGCTTGTAAATTGGTGTGATTTCATTCCTTTGCATGTATTGTAAAAAAAAATCCCTTTATATGTGGAAAATGATATATAGAATAGTTATAATTCTTTGGAGTAACCTTGGCAATGCTAATTGGTTGAGCAATTAATTAGAAGACCTCACCATCTCTCAAATGGATACAATAAATATTCCCATCCCACATAAAGTTTCTATAAAAAAAAATTATAAATATAAATATAATGATTATATATTATATATATAACAACTAAACAACAATGAATTATTTATTAAAAAAAACCAAAAAAAAAAAACACAAGTGGTATTTTTATTTTTAAGTCTAAGATATTGGAGATATTATCACCTTGCAGAAATAAAGTAGTTTTGGTTAGCATGTAATAACTAGCCAATGGCAAGCTGTCAATTATTCCACGCGTCATTCAAAAATATATATAAAAAAAATTAAAAAATTAAAAATTAAAAGCAAGCACGTAGCAAGTGATGATTATCATTAACTAACCTTAATTTTATAATTAGATAACTTGCAAGATTCTATATTATTATTCTCCCCACAGGTACCAAGACAAAGCTGACTATAATTAAATAATTAGATACTTGCAAGATTCTATATTCCCACAAGTATTCAGTACCCAGCTGAATATACTATCAATAATTCAAAATTACCTCAGGGGTACAGAAATCTTGAATCTATCAACAAATTACTTTTTTTTTACAGTTAAACTAAGACCTAGTTGATGAAGATAATGTTGTAATAATACCCTTTGTGTCTTTTCGAATCATGTTCGAGGCACGAGGTTTTAGGTAAGAATCGTAAGCAAGTGAAATTTAAGACAACTTGCGTAAGATATTGAAGATTTCTACTGTGAGAGACTTCTACCAAGTTTATGACGATAACACCCTCGTGTTTATGTGTGTAAATATACCGATATTCCTTAAAAATACCTGCTGATGGATATATTGCAGTTTCTTTAACTACAGATCTTACATGTTCTCCATTTCATTTCCTGCAAATGAATGAGAGAAGGGCATAATTGTCATTACAGACATGAAATCGAAACAGACAAAACAAACAAATAAAAAAAGGTCTAGTAGGAATCTTATATAGAATAATATACAAAGTCAAGAATTGCACATTCTCTTGTGACCTTTTAGATTCCTGGTAAGCTAAGGCTCCAAAGTCAATGCCAGAAACAAATCGTGAAACTCAAAACATTACGATCCCACTACGAAGAAACAATTGAAATTTACGCAACTAGGCCATTTAACAATCAAAACTCCATATACAAGCAATTTTCTTCCCTCCCCTCAACCCCTGGAAAACCGATTCGCATGTTGGAAACATTCAATGTTTCTTTATTTTCTTAAATGTCAAACAACAACTGAGCAATGAGACTCGACGATAGTGAACAAACTTCTACCCCTTTCTTGCACACAAAAAGACACTTACGCAATATTTTTTTTTTTTTACATTAATCACAAACCTGAACAAGTTTGAAATTCGCCAACTCTCCAAAGACACAGGTTGTCCTTTTCAGCTGTGAGCTAATACTTATATGTATATAAATATATATATAAAAAAATATATTCTAGTAATTAATTGTACTGGATTAAAACAGTATATAAGAAGCACCCAAGATTACTTCTAAAGATCATCTCTTTCTCTGCATAGTAAAGTGATCCAAAGGGTAAGCAAAAGCTTACCACCTCTAATTTTCTCTTTGGTTCACTTTCTTGCAGCTACTAAACTAAAAACCAGACATGGAGAACGTACCTGCTTTCAGCGCTACAGAAGAGTCTGGCCGGAAGAAGTTTGCGCTTCCGGTGGACTCTGAGCACAAAGCCACCGAATTCCGGCTATTCTCAGTGGCGGCACCGCACATGCGTGCATTCCACCTGTCCTGGATTTCCTTCTTCGCCTGCTTCGTCTCCACCTTCGCCGCCCCGCCTCTGCTGCCAATCATCCGAGACGATCTCGATCTCACCGCCACAGAAATTGGAAACGCAGGAATAGCAGCGGTCTCCGGTGCGGTGTTTGCCAGGGTGGCAATGGGGTCGGCCTGCGATCTATTCGGGCCCCGTCTAGCTTCCGCCGCCCTGACATTGCTGACTGCTCCGGCGGTCTACTGCAGCTCCATCGCCAGCGGTCCTAGCACTTTCCTCATCGTCCGATTCTTCACCGGTTTCTCACTCGCAACCTTTGTGTCCACACAGTTCTGGATGAGCTCCTTGTTTTCCGCTCCGGTCGTCGGAACAGCAAACGGTGTTGCGGGAGGATGGGGAAACCTCGGTGGGGGTGCGACTCAGCTGATCATGCCCCTAGGATTCGAACTCATCTTGAAAATGGGTTCCGACAAATTCACAGCCTGGAGAATCGCGTTTTTCATCCCTGGCCTGTTTCAGATGCTGTGCGCGTACGGGATTTTCTTTCTGGGCCAAGATTTGCCAGATGGAAACTACGCCCAGCTCCACAAATCTGGAGACAAGCACAAAGACAAATTCAGCAAGGTTCTCTATCATGCTGTCACAAACTACAGAGGTTGGATCTTGGCTTTGACTTACGGGTATTGCTTCGGAGTTGAACTTGCGATAGACAACATAATCGCGCAGTACTTTTACGATAGATTCAACGTGAGCCTTCACACAGCTGGAATCATTGCAGCCAGTTTCGGTTTGGCGAATTTCTTCTCGAGACCTGGAGGAGGTATGCTGTCAGATATTGTTGCAAGGAGGTACGGAATGAGAGGTAGGCTGTGGGCACTTTGGTCAGTGCAGACTTTGGGAGGAATATTCTGTATTATTTTGGGGAAAGTCGGAACATTGGGTGTATCAGTCGCTGTGATGCTCATATTTTCAGTTTTCGTTCAAGCTGCTTGTGGACTTACTTTCGGGGTTGTTCCTTTCGTTTCTAGAAGGTATCCATCTATCTATCTACCTATTCGGTTCACTAAAATTTTATCGGATAATAATATAGACTTATTTGATATGTTGTTGTTATTACCAGGTCATTGGGAATTATATCGGGGATGACAGGAGCTGGTGGAAACGTGGGAGCAGTTATTACACAAGTAATATTCTTCCGAGGATCGAGATACACTACAGAAAAAGGTATAATGCTAATGGGGGTGATGATTATAGCATGCACATCCGTAATTACGTTGATACACTTCCCGCAATGGGGTGGAATGTTCACCAAACCATCAAAGGGCATAACAGAGGAAGATTATTACCTTTCTGAATGGACCGAAGCCGAGAAGGAAAAAGGTTTCCATAAGGCTAGCTTAAAATTCTCGGAAAACAGCAGACACGAAGGCGGAAGAAGAGTTGGAATAACAGAGTCTCCGGATACACACAAATGAGTATTTCGTCGGCCTACTTTTCTTTTAAGAATTTCTGCAAAGTGTTGATTGCATGAAGAGATTACTGCTCAGTTGAATATTCTTTTGATTTGGTTTGGTGTGAAGAAGAACGTACTGTGACAAATATCGGTATTTTCTTTCTGTTTTGTTTTATTTTATTTGTATTGGTTCAAGTTCCCTGCTGTAAAAGGTTTTCATTTTAATGTGTATGTATCTCTTTTATTTGTATAACATTGTATTGTTACTCTCTATCTGTTTATGATGTACAAAACTCAACAATGACAAATCTTCGTTTAGCAATCCGTAACTATTTCGAAAATTGAGATATTATTCCAGCAGTGTTTATGAATTCTAGATTCCCCTACATACCCTCACAAAGCAAAACGCAATCAGTACTACTACACATTTGAAATAATTTAAACCAGCTTAACTCTAACGTAAGTTTTCGAGTTTTACACGATAAATTCCAGCAGTATAAGTGAATTCTAGCATATTAAGGAAAACAAAAAACACAATGTTGTGAAATCAGACAAGGGACAACAGTATGAAGAACCAGCATATTACGATAGGCAATCATTTGATTCGAAAACCAAATTCACACATTTCAACATGTTTGTAGGATTATTTCTGCAAATTAGACAACGGATAAGCCCTAGGAAGCTGTAAATCATGTTCAAAGGGGATTTAAAACAAAAAAAAACGAACTCTCGAATGGCAATTCAAATTCACAAGAGATTGCATCTTTCAGCTTAAGAAAAACTCACCGGCGACGTCTGTCCGACGAGTTCATCCACCGGGTTTTGCTGATTGAATACGACGTCGTGTCATCGGTTAAGCCCCAATTACGCAATTCGACAATTTTTGTGATTAGGGTTCCAATTTTACGAATCGGAGGGATTTAGCTCCCACCAACACTGAACCAGAATCTTAGCCCCATCGAATCGGGTCTTTAGTTGGGCCCAAATGGTAATTATATGACAATTATGGATCAAGAACTAAATTTTATTTTCACCCAAGGCAAGGCCCAAGGGTTAGTATAAAGTTGACAAATGATTAAATAGTGAGTTTTATTTATGGTCTTACTACTAATACAATATTCTCACCTAATCATTTAAATAAACATGTCGCAAATTCATCAGATTCATGAATGAATTACATCAAATGTGAAGCATAACACTTGCATAATAGGCAAAATTAATCCAACAAATCCCTTATAAAATTCTAACAAAATCCTAAATTACGAGTTTAGATACTATGTTCTTCGAAGGAAAACAATAAAAATAGGAAAAAAGAAATTGTGATATACTTGATGTGAATTGTGATAGACATAAACTTATTTATTATTATTAACATAAATTGACAAGTGAAAATGATCAATTTTGTTTAAAAAAAATAATTAAAAAAAATCGGGTCAATGAAAATTGAAAACAACCACAAACGTCAGGACACAAGACGCTGTTTGAAAGTCCCTTTCGACCCAACGTTCATTCAAACAAGTTGGTGCAAGTGGAAATCCAATCTACTTCATTTTTTTTTTCTTCCTATATTTCAATCTTCATATATGTAACTAAGATCAAGAAAAAGGGTAAATATGGTAATTTCTATGAGTGAGGTGTGAGTCTCACGTGTCAGCTGGCTACTAATTATAGCAGTGGGGGTCAAATTTTTTTCCTCTTCTGAAAATTTAATATGGTCGGCTCCTCCTCTCTTGTTTGGTGATATTCATTATTGTGCCCATCTTCTTTAATTTTCTGCTTCTTGATTGTAATTTTTCAGTTTTTTTTTAATAAAAAGTCAACATGTAGTTGACTTTCTTGCTTCACTCAGTTGCGAAAATATATACGTTGAGCTATGTGAAAATTAATAAGAATCAAAGATGAAGATAATCATGATTAATACTGCACTACTAATGGCCGTGATTCTGATGGTGTTGCCGGATCCAACATGGTCCGACCCGAGATCCAAGACCGTGAAGCTCATCTGCGGCGAGCAATCGGAGCACAACGCCACCCTCTACGTGCCCAACTTCGTCGCCACCATGGAAAACATCAGCGCCCAAATCCGGAATTCGGGCTTCGGGCTTTCAGTAACGGGCCCTGGCAACATCGACACCAACTACGGTCTCGCCCAGTGCTACGGCGACCTCTCCCCGCTCGACTGCGTCCTCTGCTACGCCGAGGCCCGCACCGTCCTCCCCCAGTGCTTCCCGGCCAACGGCGGCAGGATATTCCTCGACGGCTGCTTCATGCGGGCCGAGAACTACAGCTTCTTCCACGAGTACTCCGGCCCGAACGACGTCGCCGTATGCGGGAACGAAACCCGGACGGGCCCCGCGTTTCGGGAGTCGGTCAGGCGGGCTTTGAACGACGCCGTTTTAACGGCCCCCGAAAAGAACGGGTACGGTCGGGCTGAGGTGGCGGTTTCCGGTGACGGAAACGGGTCGGCTTATGTATTGGCCGATTGCTGGAGGACGCTAAACGCAAGTGCTTGTAGAAGTTGTCTGAAGAAAGCTTCTTCGTCGGTAATGAAATGTTTGCCTTTGTCGAACGGTCGAGCACTGAACGCCGGCTGTTTTTTGAGATACTCCAACACTAATTTCCTTAATCCTATTCCTCAAAATCGGAATTCAAAAGGTATATCAAAAATAAAATATAAAATATATAAAAATAAAAAATAAAAAAATAAAATAAAAAAAAACCATGTTTTTTAAATTTTTTTTTTTTGTGTCTGATTTTCTTTTTTTTTGGAAATTGCAGAAAGAATAATAGTAATTGTGATGGCATGTGTTAGTGCGGCGGCAGTTTTAATCATAGGAGCAGTAATTGGAGTTTATACATGGAAGCAGAGAATTATTCAAAGGAAAAGAAAAGGTTTAAATATTATATATTATGTTTAATTAAATTGTCTAATTTAATTTCAATAATATTCATGTCAGAAAAATTAAATCTGATTCTTTTTGTTACAAACTCCATTGTTTCAATTTCCAGGCTCAGATGACACCAAAAAATACGCGAAAACGCTAAACGACAGCAGCTTGAACTTCAAATATTCGACACTTGAAAAAGCCACCGCGTCCTTCGACGAAGCTAACAAGCTCGGCCGAGGCGGATTCGGTACGGTCTACAAGGTAGTCCCGAATCCGAAAAAAGTAGTACTATTTAATTTAATTATTAAAATGTCCGAAAACGGAATTTGTGTGTGTGTGTGCGCGTGTGTTTTTGTCGTAAAATGTTTAAAACTGCAGGGAGTTTTGCCAGACGGAAGAGAAATTGCGGTGAAGAGGCTTTTCTTCAACAACAAACACCGAGCATCCGATTTCTACAACGAAGTCAAAATCATAAGCTCGGTCGAACACAAAAACCTAGTTAGACTCTTGGGTTGCAGTTGCTCGGGTCCAGAAAGTCTACTCGTTTACGAGTTTTTGCCTAACACGAGCCTTGATCGCTTCATCTTCGGTCCGATTTTTTATATTTTATCCTATATTTTAATTTTTTTTCTTGTTTTGACGTGTAATTTATATCGAATGAGTAAACAGATTCGAGCAAAGGCAAAGGGTTAAACTGGGAAAAAAGATTCGAGATAATAATCGGAACAGCCGAAGGACTAGTCTACCTCCACGAAAACGGCAATGCAAGAATCATCCACCGGGACATAAAAGCAAGCAACATATTATTAGACTCGAGGCTTCGTGCTAAAATCGCCGATTTCGGACTTGCTAGGTCGTTTCAAGAAGATAAAAGCCACATCAGCACCGCTATAGCTGGAACATTGTAAGTATATAGATATATATAATACTCCCTCCCGTTCATAAACATGTGTCGTTTTCACCTTGGCACGAGTCTTAAGAATCTCAATAAATATATCTTGATTTTAGAAAAATAAATATAGATAGACCAAAATACCCTTGTTTACTAGTTAATAAGGGTGTAATTGAAAAGTATGTAATTAATGCAGTATTAGAATTGTAAATTGAGAGATAATATGAAACAAAAAAAATTCTTAAAAGAGACAGATATTGTAGAACAGATGGAGTATAATATAACGACTTTCCAAAAGTTTCTAGAAGCTTCTTCGATGGTGTCATAAGTTATAACTTCCGTCGGAATATATTGCAGGGGATATATGGCGCCTGAATACTTAGCACACGGGCAGTTAACAGAAAAGGCAGATGTGTACAGCTTCGGAGTACTCTTGCTCGAAATAGTCACCGGCAGACAGAACAACAGAAGTAATACCTCCGTGTACGCAGAAAGTTTGGTGACTATCGTAAGTTCTAGAACCTTCTAGAAGAATCGCACACGTCAGCATTTTAATCATTAATAACTAACAACATCGCATTTATTTAATTATTAATATTAATATAATGCAGACATGGAAGCGGTTCCAACAAAGGACGGTGGAAGAGATTTTCGACTCGAACTTAGTAACGTCGCACAATTACAATTACAATATCGAGACGAGAAACGATATTCTACGCGTGGTGCACGTGGGACTACTGTGCACCCAAGAGATCGCTTCGTTGAGACCGTCGATGTCAAAGGCATTGGAGATGCTGGTGAAGAAGGACGAAGATCTTCCTGCACCAACTAGTCCGCCTTTTGTGGACGATAACACGATGGAACTCAACGGAACGAATGAACACCCATCTCCGCCCCTCGATTACGGGAATTCTGATTCGGCTGCCAGCATGTCACAGAGTATATTCTTTCCCAGGTGACATTTATATTTTCGATTTTAAAAAAGTACCGATCCGTTCTACTATATAGTATCGGTTTCGTAATGCAAATAAAGACAAGAAACAGAACAACGGGCAAAAATATTAAATACGGGAGATTATCGAAGATCAGTCTTGTAAGAAGAAATGTGGTGAGAGATTATCGAAAACAGCCAACTGCATATTCTCGGGCGATTTCCAGTGGCGTTTCCGTTGATTTATGAACCAGTTGTTTATTTGCTTCTGGTCGAGCCCCGTCGATTCAGCTAGTGCTATTTTATCACATTCCTGCGTATATTTTTGTAATAATTAATAAATTCTTGTAATTATTGATAAAATAATGACGACGATTATGTAATAACGAAATACCGTGGGATAAGGCCATTTGCAGTGCAAATTCCACCATTGGAGAAGAGTTTGCCTTGCCTCCTTTGGTAGTTTACCTTTCTTCTTCTTCTTCGAAAATTCGTGTTTCAGGCTGCTGATGTGGCTGCCGTACATACGTACGAGCTTCTCTTTTAGCTGTCCTTCTTCGCTACTTTTCGTTGTTAGTTCTCCATTTTCTATGTTGTCTGTATCGACTTCTTTGCTCAACTCCTCGTCCGACCACGGTGAAACGTCGTCTACTAGTACCCGAGAAACGAATTCGGAAATGTTATTTAGTTTAAGAATCGATATGTTACATGCATCTAACCATGCAAGTTAATCAATACCTTCAATCATGCTTATATATATAATTTCGCAAGAAACTGTATGACTTTTTGTGGATTTTTTTTCATTCCAAATAATATTTCCCAGAAAATGCCGATTCTACCCCTACTAACGTGGCATTTCTTATGCTACTTTTTAAAGGCAAAAATTTCCCTCGGGGAGGCTTTACAAGCAACTTTTTCTTAAACAATACACTCACAAAATTTTAGTACACTATTATCCATCTGAGAGTAATTTTTTTGTTTAAAAAGTAGCGTAAAGAAATGCTACGTTGGCAGGGGTAGAATTGACATTTTTCAGGACATATTAACCAGAATTAAAAGGATTCTGTGAAAAATTACACCGTAAGGGGTCAATGCAAGACGGAAAAAAAATCGGGGGGGGGGGGGGGGGGGGGGGGGGGATTTTAGTAATTACGGGTAGGTGGGTCATTTTTCCTAATTTAACTAAGTTCACGGAGTTTCCGTAATTTACCCATTTATATTGGTGGGCCCAAATGGGCCCAGGAAAACTTTAAATATGGGCCATAGATAGTAATAAATGTGGACAGTATTTATGCAATTAAATACGAGAGCAAGTTCGTGTGGTGGGCCGGGCTTCAGCGTAAACCCCGGGAGTCCCATGTGAAAGAAAAAACACCACCCGCCTTATCCGGGCTTTTCCCTCTCTCTCTCTCTCTCACACACAAACACACGCACACACAACACACATACCACAAAAAATATACACGCATAAATTAAATAAAATAATAACACGAATCGTGATAATCAACTAGTTTGGTTCATGCACACACCTTTACTTTCATATAACCTTCATCAAAATTCAGACAATTCCCAGTGCAACTCTTCTGTCACACACTAATTAAGTGAAAAAAAATTAAAATACTAAAAACAATTTCAAGACGATTTTTAGTGTTAAAACTAGGACAGTGTGAACACTACTAGAATGTTTAGCTTGGTTTTCATTTCACTTTCATTCTATTTTTCAGATTCTTCTTCCACATTGCATTTTTCCAACACAATATGATCTGACCGTTGCAATGTATTTTATCTCATCTAAAATTAGACTTAAACATCTATAAATTAATATAGTCGTGCCTAGCAAAATTCTATTAATTCAGCGAAATTTTAAAATATCAAACTGATAATTCAGTAAGTTTTTACCGCTATTATTCAAGCAAGGTTATTAATTTATGGATGTCCTACTATATAAACAAACATTACTTTCGTTCTCAAATGATTCCCTCAAAACATATTTCTCCAAAATAAAATGAACAATAATCCCGAAAACGAATCAAAACATTAGCAATTAGATCAAATTACATGTATGACACACAATCAAGAACCATATTTGGATTGAACAAATAATTAAGGCGAAAAAAAAATGTTATTAAGGGAGAGGGGAGACAGCATCTTGGAACACATGTACCTTAACACTAGCTAAATATGAAATGCACGTGAAAATGTGCTGATGATGATTCAACACCGAAGTGGACAACCTCGTTTGTGCCTCCTAAGTACATCTTAATTAATTACGATTAATTAAGAGCTTAAAAGCATTTTTAAGATTGAGTTCAGAAAACAAGATTAAGCACAAAAACAAGGACAGCTAAAACTAGAAACTAACACATCTGGAAAATAAAAAAAAAAGGGTTTTGTACTTATAAGGCTGTTACTATACATTTAAACTAATAAACTCACACATGACCTCCACACATTTGGAGATTCAGACAACATCTTTTTTCATTGGATAAATAGTTATTTAAATAATTATGATTTTTTTTTTTAACTAAGTAGTTAATAAGATTTGTTCATGCGGTTTTTTTTTTTTAATAATAGATCCCGATTTGTACTTAACCACACTTAACTGACTTAAGTACGTACAGTTTATGCTCGTTGTTTAATGCAAGCTGGCACAAGAAAGAACGATCTAAAACGCACACGAAATAATAAACGAAGGAATTATTAAATCCAGGTGCGCCCGAATTATCTCATGTGACACTACAGTACGATTCGCGCGCGTATGACCATTTTATACGATAATAAATCATAATTTATAAGGATCCTAAAGTAAATATATGATCTTCATGTGAAATGATTTAATTACTACCAATTAACACGTACAAGAAAACATTGCTTTAAGTGCCAACCAATTAGCACTTAACCTCAGCCAACAACACATGAACTAGTCAACTATTTTTGTATGTGTTATAACTTGTGAACCATATATAATGAAGTACATTAACTACATTTAAAGAGAAAAATGAATAAAAATATAATTATACTAGGGATGATCATTTGCAGTACTTAAGAAATTTAATTAATCCATTTTGGTTTAATTTACCTTCATCTAGCTAGGTCATTTTTATAGCTATATATCTATCTTTCTTTTTTTTTAATTTATTTTTTAATTAGTTTATTTGGTAATTTGCTAAGAACTCTTGTGCATTATATGAAGAACAATTAACGATTTTACATAATTTATCTCAGATTTAACATATATGCATGTGAATAATCTTTCACATATTGGAGGGTAAAAGTGGTAAATTGAATAAAAAAAATATATATATAAATAATATAATCTTGCATTGATAGGTCAAATCAGAATCCGTAGCTGTGATTTATTGGCAAGCTTTTAAAAATATATTTTATATTTGCTCTGACACGAAAAACAAAAGATGAATGAAAGGTAGACTGCCAATTAATTACGACAAGGAAGAAATGGAGAAATGAGCTAGTGTAATAACTACAAAACTACTGTTGGGAAGTCATGTTTGTAGCTACTTATTAGCACAGAATCCCACTTCACTTTCCCTTTCGTTTTAAGGTTTACTACTCTTTCCTATACATACACCCAAGCAACACATATATATATATACATATACATACAAGGAAAACCAGGGCAGCTCCCTTCAATTCATCAGAAGGAATATAATATGACCTCTCTTTCAAGTTTAGGGTTTTTAGGGTACGTCGCAGCAGAAACCTTTTTGTAACTATTCTGTGTGTGTGTGTGTGTGTGTGTGTGTAAGAGAGAGAGAGAGAGAGAGGTACCGTTGCAAAGATGCAGGAGTTGGGAGTGGAGTTTGTGGAGGAAGGAAGTAGCTTCATCAAAGGGCCTTGATAGGTCAGATTTGTACTTTACCAGTATCTCACAATAGCTTTCCTGTATTACATCAAACATATATATATCATATCATCAGACAAAAGGAAATGAAAAAAACAGGAGAAAGAAAGAAAGAAAGATTAATTAATTGAAGACCATGAAGTGGTCGAGTTGAGGATCGACTCCTAAGCGAATGGATGAAACGGCGGCGTACTGATGTTGTTTCTCTCTCATCATCATGATTTCATCCAGCATATACACTATCTCCGGCGGTGCTCCAAACTGCACAAAATTAAATTAAATTATACACAGCTAGCTGTCGTCGATCACCGTATCAATAAGTTTTATCAGTTTATAATGATTAAATGAATGAATAAATAAAACCTTTTGGCAATCAATATAGGCATGGAGGAGTTTTGGGAAGGAAGGGTGTGAGGCGATCTTGGCCTTCATCAAGGATGCCACGTCATCATCTTGATTATTATTATTATTGATGGAAACTGATTCTTGATCTACTTGAGATGTTACTGCAGAGCTGTAATATTGGAACCCCGATGATCCAAACATCGTCGTCTGCTGGTGGTGGTGATGCGGCGGCGGCGGCGGATTATGATCATCGGGGTTGTAGTGATATTGATGATATTCCATTGGTATCATAAGATTCTCCGGTGACATTAAAGCCTTGTCTGCGATATATTCTGTTGAATCAACCCCACACATGCCGTCCATATATATATTTATATATATATATATATATATATATATATATATATATATATATATATATATATATATATATGCATATTGCGAGCTCTGAAAATATTTGTTTTAATTTTTTCAGGACTTTTTAAAGATATATACAAGCAATAAAAAAAAAAAAAAAAAAAAAAAGAATCAAGGTTTAGGGTACCAGCTTCGGAGTTTATTACAGAAGTGGTGATGGTCTATGCCGGAGGAGGAGGTGGTGGTGGTGGTGGTGGTGGTGGTGGTGGTGGAGGAGTGTGTGATTATACAATGGAGAACAAACAAAGAATGGAGATGCTCTAAGTCCTTGAAGCTGAGGCCCACGTTTTCTATTATTAATTCATCACCGTATTAGGGTTTTTTTTTTATTATTATTATTTTTTTTTTTTATTATGTCTATCCCTTTTATTTTCTTTTAGATAAATAGTAAATACTAAGAAGAATTACTACAATGTTTGTATCCAATATTCGGTAAAATACACCCGATGATTATTAACCGTTGAGCTGCACATAATCACATATATTCATGTGTATATGTGGTTAGTGAGTAATTATTTAACCACATCAATGCATGGTTAGCTATGCTGCACGGACACGGATATGTGGACACGCCGATACGCGGATACGGATACGGTAATACGGCATTTCCAAAAAATTAGGATACGGACACGCGGCGGATACGCGTAAATATAAAAAATATAGGGGTATATTTATAAATAATAAAAATATAAGGGTACATTTAGAAATTGTAAAAATATGTATAAGTCGTCATCGCATAAGAGAACGGCTCGCCCTTGTTGCTCGTGTTCTTGGTCGCCGTCGCATGCTAGACTTTTGGAGTTTTTGGTGGACTCACAAAGAAAACAGAGGAAATCTGTATTATAGAGAAAAGAAAATGCGCATTTTTTTTGTTAGGGCTCCCTCTTAAAACATAAGAGAAGTGTCCCAACTTTTTTAAAATTGTGGACACTGCCCGACACGGGTGTCCTATTTTTAGCGAAATTACGACACGGCCCGACACGGGTGTCCGAGAAGTATCCGAGGGTGTCCGAGTGTCCAAGTATCGGATACGGGGACTCTTCACCTTCTAGAAGTGTCCGTGCAGCATAGATGGTTAGAAATCATATGGTGTACATGACCCGGGTTACGGCCCTAACCATATGTTTATCTAAACTTGAAAATGCAATCAAAATATAATTATAATTTGGAATACAATGGGTCAATTTTTGAAGTTTCCTATTCTTGAATGGGATTTATTTTAATTTATTTATTCTAATCTAATATATGTTTGTCATTTGTTATAAATTTGAATTAATTATAGAAATATCTTTAGTTTTTCTTATTAAAGTCAATAAATATTAGTACTTATTCGAGTTTCTTGTGAAAAATCATAAAAGAAATTTTGACGACGAAGCCGTGAACAGTTGGCTCATTTTATTTGCAAATATTTGCTCCGAGTTGAAATCAATTACTTTTACTAAGGGAAACGGAAGAATAAATACGGTTTTATACATCTACGGTTTAAAACCACACGATCGTAGTATCTCATGAACTGAATAAAAACCAAATGTGTTGAATAATGTACTTTATTGCAATTGGGTATAAAATTATAAATACATGACATAGTATTTGAGTGTTTATTATACATGGTCAAAAGATACAAAGATTCTTCAAGACTATAGCCAATTTTGGGAGAAAGTGGTCATATTTAATATGGCTTTCAATGAGACAGAAATAGAAGAGAAAATATTCATCAAAAGAATTATTAATTATTATCATGGTAATCATGGAGGTATGGAACAACATTCCCATTATCTTTTTTTTTTTCTTTTCTTTTTCTTTTTTCCCTTTTTTTTTCTTCCTTAATTGACCTAAAACCAAGATAAAATTTAATAGTAATGGTATCCATAAAGATTGTGTTATTCCATGATATGTGTGTGATCTGTATTTATTTGCAAAAACCTATATTTATCCTCATCTCAAACTTTTTCCTTATACTTTCCCTTTAGTATTTACTTTAATTCCTTAGTGTTGGATATTTAGTCCAATTTGAATTAATCAAGAATTCAGTTCATTATTCATTTCAGTTAAACCTGCTGTCTAATCATCTTAGTGAAATATCTCCGGATTTCAAATCCGTCAATTATATTTACGTCTTTTCAGGTGAGCAGTGAAATATAGATTAGACGTGCATTAAATGTTGACACATGGCTTAGGCGATTGACTCTCTCGCTTGTTTATTGTCAACAATCATCTTGCTAGCTCGCAGTCGCTCATTCTCTCGCTTACTCAATGTTTGTCTCGCTCGTCGGAGGTTATGCGCGGGAGCCTAATTCCACGGGGTGTGAAAGACGACCATTTGATGTGGGCTTTTACCATTATGGGCCGGACACGCTTAATGGGCCGATATGGTTGAAATTGTTTCGGATTACATATGATATGACAATTACTAGCGTAACTCAAAAATCTATATTGGTGAGTGGATATATATGTTTTTAGTATAAATTTGACCTAATTAATGTAAAATTCCACCATTACCCCTCAATTTAGTTAAAATTTTCCTATCGTTTGGGTGAAAAAATGTATATAATAATGAATTTCCATATTTTGGTGTTGGATCCATTGGACTAAAAGATCTCTTGAAAACTGATTTGGGCTGGAGGCCTCCTTCGGCAGGTATTTTCTTAATGGGCCCACTTATGAATTGGTCATCTAAATCTTGTACATTTATTACATTATTTAAAAAACATAAAATAATAGAAACATTAACTTTATGAGATTCTACACCTGGTGTATTTCACTGGGCGATTTTAAACCGTAGATCTATATAAATAAATATTCACGAAGTAATCATACATACGAGTGTGTGTTATTATGTATAGATCAAAGGTTTAAGTTCATCAACTGTATTTCAATGGACGTATCATCTATAAAACCCTCAAATAAATCTAAATTTTCCTATTAGAGCAACTCCAATGGAGTTGTTATTAAATGAGTTATCAAATCTCTTAACTACCATTTGACTCCTAAAATTTAAAAATTATGTTCTCCAAAGGGGTTATTAAAATGGGTTTGTATTTTGATATTTCTCATTTTTGAATATAAAAATACTTCCTGCAAATTGAGTTATCAAAAAAATAACTACCTAACCAGCCATTCACAAATTGACACGTGTCAATTACATATAAAATTATCAAAAAACTTCCAATTGATAATAAAATTTGATAACCATGGTTGGAGTAGATGAATGTTAAATATATTTTAAAATATTATCTTAAATATCAAATGAGCATTTGATAATCCAATTTTGATATTTAGCATTGGAGTTGCTCTTAAAACTCAATAAAATTATCAAAATCAATATTAATTATTTAATTAGTCTCCTCCGTCAATTTCTCTATCTTGAATATCCAAAAATAAATACATAAATAAAACCTTTCTTTGAATTTGTAAAATATAAATAGAAGAATAAAAAATAAAATAAAAATTAAAAAAAAAAGCAATGGTGACTTGGGTAACAATGTCCCAATACTAGTTTATCTGAAATTTATCACTTTTCATATATTTATACGATTTTGGTGTCGGCCAATTGAACTCGACGCTCCTTTTCATTTTCATTTTTCAAAAGCTAACTTCTCTCTTTTTTACTATATTTACAAATCCCAAGTAAGTATTAATTTTGCTTATTCTATATGTTTGTTTATATTAAATATTTTAATTATTATTGAAACATGTTTGTTTATATTAAATAAAAATTTAATATGAGTTTTCAACTGATTTATTGCTCCTAATACTACAGTTACATCAGGGTTAGATGTCATTAACAATAAATTATAAATAAATAAGTTTATTATGTATCTATGTTAATGGGCGACACATCAATATAATTAGTGGATTTACTGGTGTAGTGGAAAAGTGAAGGGAATCCATTATCGAAACCAATCACCATATTCCACATTTATCTCAATATTAAGGAATCGACTAACGGTTAAAGCAGACGAGTCTGTGTCAATTGATACACGTTTGAATATTTTTGTCAACGATCGTTAGGTCTAACTTGTCACACATGGTTAGTCAATCGTGATTTATGTATTTCGTATGATTTGTGAACTACTATACATAGATTTACCCAATGCACTTATATAGTTGGTTGTCGGTTCTTTCTTTGCAAATAAAAAATTATCAACTGTTAGAATATTTACAAAAAAAATATCATGGAAATTTGGTAAATATATGAGAGCGTTGTAGCTAAATAATAGTTTTGATTTTTTGTTTTTTTCTTTTTTTAATATTAGATCTGCAAATACTAAGTTTTTTCTTTGTTTTTTCAAAACATAAAAATAAAAAATACACGTGCGATATTCCACGTAGAAGAACTTTAATGGTGGAACTATGCATCAGACAAGAAAAGTGAATTATTAAGGCAGCTAGTGGATGATGATGATATTAATAATAATTATAATAAAATAAATAAATGAAAATGATGATGTCATAATAATTAAGCTAGTGAAATTAAAGCTTATATAAAGCCCTGTATATCCAGACACAACTTCCTCGTACACTCCTCATCACACACACACACACACACACACACAGAAGAAAAACACACTTGAGCATAAGAAGAAGGTGGTGAAAGTCTAGAATGTTCTGGAACGAAGCATTACGTGGATCTTGATCGATGAAAAACAGTGGCAAACTGGAGTGTGATATGATATTTAGCAATAATAAATATTTATCATATTGCTCTTCTACTAGTTTTGCTGGTGTAATTTGCCCATTAATTATCCTGCTTAATTAATTAATTAGCCCTGATTTAGTTAGTGTGTGAAGATGGGGTTTAATTATTTGCAGAGGTTTATCGGCAAGTTTTCCGGCAGATCGGCAAGTCACGTCACGGCATAGACTCTCCGGCGCGATCGCGATCGAGTCTTCTCTTGGCTTTTTAATATTCTGTTCTTTTATTTCTATCCTGTATTTTTCATTTCTGCATGGAATAAGATAATTTTATTATCCCACAAAACAAATTTCATTTACATATATGTGTGTGTGTTGCTTCAATATAATGTTACAAAAGTTAAAACATGATACATTTCGATTCGAGATAAAATTAAATACACGGGCCATCTTTCCGACTATTTACGATAATAAATATTAAAAATAAGTGGGAATTACACATTAAAAAAAAAAAAGAAAAAAACCGAACACCGAAAAAACAACGAATTTTCAGTTTCGCAAAGATCCAAGTACACTCTTCAAGAGAGAAACATAAAGCAACTCATTCCAAGTATCCGGTACACCTGGCAAGCACCAGTGGCTGCAGTCTTGCGCATGCACTTCTTGCTGTGCCGTTTGATAATCCGGTCTGTAAACCGAAGGGTGGCCGTCTTTTCTATAATCCGTGAGCCGGCTTATATTTAAATAAGTCACGGGTGTTTTCATATCCTTGAGCACGTATTCAAGAATCCTCATTTTCGAAGGGTACTTTGCTAAATAAGTATCGTTGAATATTGGCTCGGTTTCCTTGTTGCACTGACCCCCCGAATTCCACGGTCCACCCCTGCAAATAAAATTTCCGAAATATGAAAATCCGTATCATATGAAATATGAAATGAAAAAATTGAAGGAAAATGATATTTTTACCTAAAATGAGTGACGGAATATCCTCGGAAAATAACTTCGGTTTTGTTGCTATCGATGTTCTTATCGACCCATTTTGCCCATGTGATGATCGCCCTTTTGTACGCTTCCAAAACTTTAAGTCTTGGGTGTACATGATTACCTTCTTGGTAATACCCTTCCCTGAGAAAAAAGAAAAAAAAAAAAAAAACGGATATAACTAAATGCCGAATTTGCAAAATAAATGGTAATATTTAATTTATTTACGAAACTAACCCACGAGAGGTTTTCTCATGAGTCCACCAATGGCCGGTATTGAATATGATGACATCAGCATCATGGTACATGGATGTTGTACCATCCATTAAATCGAGTCTCAGTGTCTCGAAAGAGCCGTTTTTCCCATTAAAGGATGATTCTTTGACAAGGAAAGGAGAGCTAACGAAATCAATCGAGCAGTTATAATCCTGCAAAATATACAGACAGTACGTAAAAATCTACGTATTCTATTTAATTTATTCGTTCGCAATTTAAAGAGGATACATAGATAGATATATAGAACATGCCTCAAATCTGAAAGCGTAAAAGCCTTTCTTTTTGAACTCGTGCCTCCCGGATATTTCATAAACACGGTTCTTGTCTTCAACGCCATGGCGAAGTACGCAAACCAGAGATTCCCACATGTTCCTGTTTAGAGAATCTCCGACGAAAACGAGCTTTTTCCCTCTAAGTATCTCGAGAAAATTAGTCACGTTTAACCTGAGGAAAGTCAATTTTGTCAGCAGCATATCTATACACATTGAATGGGCTAAATGACTTTCAAGAATAGTAAAGAACAGGTGAAGGCTCTTAAAGAAGTTTAAAAGCACTAAAGCGGTAGTATAATATTGTCGAACTTTAAATAATATATATAATGCAACGAGATTAGGTAAATACACGAATAATTAACAAGGCATTCTATATTTAAGCTCATGATAACAACACGAATGATTTCTTGATGATTACATCACCATAACCAGAAACGGAACAAGAAACGTAAGGTCATCATCATTCTCATCAACAACTAAATACACAAACTTAGTAACCCCAATTATTAAATGAATTAAATCTAACTGATGTCAATCTACTTATATACACATACTCATTTGACTATGTTCAATAATAGAAAAATCAATTTAATCCTCAGAAATAACAATTAAAAAAAAGAATTACCTAGGCATGTCACAATCAAAAGGCTGCCATCTCCATTTCACGAATTCGGTATCCGGCCTCCCGTTAGAGTGGCAATCAAAATCCCGATCGATATACGGGCATGAACCCGGCGGATAATATGGCTTCGAATCGTCCCTCACCCATTTACCATTAAAGATGTCACAGTTCTTGTAAGATCTACCATTACCCGAAGATTCGATTTTCGGCAAACACGAATTCCCACCGGAGTCTTCCCTCCCCGAACAATCACCGTTAACAGAATCCCCGACAACCGATTCGGTTCCGTTCACACTATCAATAACCAAGACTGGATTTTTAACAGGCTGAGACCCATTTAATTTACTAAAGCTTCCATTTTTCGACTCATTGACACCCGATTCGGTTCCGTTCACACTATCACTCACCAAGACTGGATTTTTAACAGGCTGAGACCCATTTAATTTACTAAAGCTTCCATTTTTCGACTCATTCCCCAAATGGGCTTTCTCAAAAACATTCCCCTTTTCTCCAGATTCGATTAAATCCAGACTTTTATTACTCACCGCCACATTCGGCAAGAGGGTTTCATTCAAACTATTGACAGTCGAAGTTTCATTACCACCATTTGCAGTAGAGTTATTAAATACACCAGAAAAGGGCCAAGAAATGGAAGAGCTATTTTTACGGGAACCGAAACTGTACAGCCCTTGAAATACTGGGTTAGATAACGGACCTTTGGATGAGATGTTAAACAATACTGCACAGAAAACGATGAAAGATAACAGAACTCCGAAACCAAACGGCGAAACTACCTTCCTTCTTGGAGATGAGAGAATCTGATCTGGGAATGCGAGTTTTTTCAAGTCCATGGCGGATAAACCAGAGGAAAAACCAAAACCCACCATCCGGTTTTTTATTACTAACAGCGAAAAAAAAAACCCAGATGAAAAACACACACACACACAAACACGCAGTGAATGTGTGTGTACGATGCTACAGTACGGGCGGTCTGAGGTTTTTGTGTGGTGTTCTTTTTGTGGAGGGGTTGGGTTGGTGGTCTGAGATTACTAGGGAAAGGGGAAGATCATTGTTTTTTGTTTTTGGGTTTTGAGATTTCGGAAATAGGAAAGAAAGTTAATTAATTAATTAAACGAAGATTTATTAAAACTTAAAAGCGGTGATTTTTGGGTTGGCAATAAGGATTCTCTCTCATGTTGGATATGGAAAGAGAGCGAAATAGATGCAACTAAAGAAATGACGGTATTGCCCTTGTGTTTTTTTCTTTAAATTTTTTAAATTTGAATAATTAAAGAAAACTTTTATGAAAGAAATAATATACTCATCATCTAGTTGATACCATTATTTTTTTACGCCGGAATTATTTCGCATAATTTGCAAGGCGTTGTGGAATTTTTACCCTTGAATATCACCTATGAAGTTACATAATTGACCCTATATATATATATATATTTTTTTTCATTGTTTGATGGGAAATTTAGGTGGTATATGAAAAACATATTTAAAAGCAAAAGATGGCAACTATATTGGAAAATGAACATAAATCAAAAAAACAGGTTTAGGGATGCTTTTAGAAGAAAAAAAAAAGTTTAAAGCAATTTATTTTAAAATAAGCAAAATCAAAATATAAATTTACAAAATACATAAAAATAAATTACCAGCGAAAAAAAAGTTTTAGAAGCTTTTTCTAGAAGCTTTTGCAGACACCTTAACCCTTTAAAGGTGTTCTAGATATTTCTATATGCCCTTAAATTTTCATCTAATTTTAGTAAATGCATAAATGATATTTAAATTTTGAATTTAGCTAAATTAAGAATGTTATTGAGAAATCACATTTAATACTAAAATTCTACAATTTTAATACTAACATCATACAAGAAATTAAATATGTTACTAACTTACACTAATTAGTTCATCAATAGTGAGTAAAAGTCCATTCAGTCTAAAATAAATAGCAAAAAAAAATGACTTAAATAAATAAAATCAGAAAGAAAAATAAAATAGGACAACCAGTTGGAGGGTAGTTTAGTCAAACATTAGTTACGGACGTCAGCAGCAACCGTACATATGGCGCCGACACGAATATGTGCATAATTGACGCGTGTCATAATACAACTGCAGGGGTAAAAATATATTTTTATGTCAACTGTACGCGGCCACGTGCTGCTGCTTACAATGATTCAAATAACCGTTGATTTACTCCACGTGTCGCTTATCTGGAACGTTGGTTACAATTTCATTTCTGGACCGGGCCCTATTTATAGCTGGATCGTCTATTGTGTTAAGTTCATGGGCCCGTTGAGCCCAACAAGTGACCCAGTACTAATAAATAAAAGAGTGTTGGTCTTTTTCAGATTAATCTTCTATTTGAACAAAATTGATTATTCTTTCAGACAATAAATACTTACAATCAACGGTCAAATAAGAGTAAACATAATTTCGAAATTTGTCTAAATTTTTTCAAACGGGTTAGTTCCATAAAATTCCCTAAATTTTGGACGTTTCCGCACTTTACCTCCTGAAACGAAAAACATTGCAAGTGACCTCTATTATATGTAGCATCGACGCTGAAATTGTCCATTTCCGGCCAAAATTGGACGGAATAAAAAATACATGCGTTCCACGTGAATAGAGTTGGGGTAAATTAGTCTTTTCATCCTACAACCCTTTGATCCCGTTTTTGCTTCTTATTTTCCCTACATTTCTCTCCCACCCACTTTATTAATCTAATTTTGCCCTATGTCGTTTCACTCCATTACATTTCTAGTCACACCCGATTTCACTCTTGATTCTGTAATGGATTTCACATGCTACTACTGTTCAAGAAAGCTAACCATGAAAACTTCATGGACTGACCTCAATCCAGAAAGAAGATACTCCACGTGCGAAAATATTTTATAAGGTTTCAAATGTTTTGAATTTCGCAAATCAGCTAACTTCATTCTTTTCTTCTTATTTTGTTCTATTTTCTTGGCCAAAAAATGGACCCATTTCGGCGGCGCTGCAACAAATAATAGAGTTCAAGTCTCCCATGCAACTTTCTTTCCATTAGGGGGTAAAGTGCAAAAATATCAAAAGTTCAGGGGGTTAAAGTGCAAAAATATCCAAAGTTTAGGGGGTTTTACGATATCTACCGTTTTCAAAACCCCAAATGGTCTAAATATAAACTAAACCGAACTAAGAGGGAGTATACATATGTATAATTTTTCCTCTAAACAAAAATATAATTACACCTAATCATAGGGGCATATAGATGTAATTTACCCATGATTGTAATAGAGAATCACTCTGGATTTCCAAAAATTGAATTGAATCTCCATTAATCTAATAAAATACTCATGGACAAAAAAAGTAAATGTCTTGTTTGTACATGACTGATGACTTTTCCCTTTCTTTTTACAGGTGAAATACATATTTATCCAACAAACTATAGACATAGCTCAAGTTCATCAAACAACCTCCATTTATAACAATAGAGACAATGTGAAGACGACGACGAACAAAACCCGAACCCTATCTTGGTCCAGAAAGTTCCATATCCTCAACCACAAGCGAAGATTCCTCTATATAATCGGAATATCTTTGCGGCAGATTTTGAAACGATCTGCTGTTGTTGTACCTCGGAGTGTCGACTTTTTGCGATTGCTCCCACTTTTCTGCTAATCCATCTCCTTCGAGCATTCTCAAAACTTCCGACATTTTAGGGCGATGCGTAGGATTAAAGTGGGTGCACAGTAGCGCCACCTGCACCATTTCTTCCAGTTCGATCATGTCGAAATCGCTCTTTAGTTCTTTGTCCACCATTAGATTCAACTTCCCCTCTTGATGAAGCTTCTTAACCTAAAACAATAGTTGAAATTCCAATCTTATTAGTACTCGCTAAAAACCGAGAATTTCTTTCTACTTCAAAATTAAAATAAGTATTTAATTAGCGAGACGTATACCCAATCAAGAATCACCCCTTTTTGGTTCGCCCCCCGCCCAAAATCCACCGCCTTATGGCCCGTGATGAGCTCAAGAAGCAAGATTCCAAATCCAAATACGTCCGTTTTTTCCGAGGATTGGCCGGTTGACAAGTACTCGGGTGCAATGTGGCCGAGGGTCCCACGCACCGCGGTTGTAACATGAGAATCCCGATGGTCCAATAGCTTGGCCAGTCCAAAATCACCCACCACCGCCTCGAAATCTTCGTCCAATAAAATATTGGCCGCCTTCACATCGCGGTGGATTACTTTAGGGTCACATTGCTCGTGCAAGTACACCAATCCCCTAGCCGTACCGAGTGCTATGCTCTTCCTCCTCGACCAATCTAAAACGGGCCTTCCATTTATATTATCTGCAAAAAATAAATAAATTAATTAATTAAAAAATCTAATCTTGAATTTTTCATTCGTTTCGCAATAGTAATAAGGATTAAAAATCGAACCTTTAAGCCTTGATGCAACGCTGCCGTTTGACATGTAAGGGTAAATTAGGAGGCGTTCGTTTTCGTTAGAGCAGAAGCCCCAAAGTCGGAGGAGGTTTCTGTGGACAGCCAAACTGATGAGCTCAACTTCTGTCTGAAACTGAATTTCTCCGCCATGGGCATTATAGTCTTTTAGCCTTTTAACCGCCACTATAGTACCGTTGTTCAATCGGCCTTTGTATACTACACCGAATCCTCCACTACCTAATATGTTCTTCGCGTTGAAATGGTCGGTTGCTGCTCTGAGTTCTTTAAAAGTGTACCTTCTTAAATGACCTAAACGCACTTCTGGATCGTATTGTTCTGCCAAACAAAACAAAGCATTTTTCACAACTAAGTCGATTTAAATTCGTGTCGAAAAAAATATAAATGTATATATATATTTATATATAAAGTTACCATTAACATCGAAGAAAATTTGTTGATTATGCCTGTAACGCCACCAAAACAGCAAGCCAGCGATGATAATAATCGAAAATGCACCACCAAAGCTTGCCCCAAATGCAATCGCTATGTGATGTTTTGCCCTGGATTCGGATTGTTCTGCATGAAAAAAAAAATAGATATTTAGATACAATATTTGAAATCGAAATTCACGAGTGACGGATTAGTGGAAGACGAGACTATACTTGCCTTGTGTGGCGTCGGGTGGGAAGGACAGTGGCTCTGGATAAACAACCGAACAATTATTTTGAGAAGTTTGACCGCAAATTAGAGGGTTTCCAACTATTCTGAAAAAAAAAATCCAATTCAAGAAATGAGAATATACTCTACTACTTAGTAAAACGAGTAAACACGAACTCACTTGAAAGTTCTAGCGGAAATTTTCGGCAAAGAGCCACTAAAGTTATTGTAGGAAAGGTCCCTGCAATAATTCATAAAAGTGTTGGTTGTTACATAATTGGAAAAAGAAAATGAAGCGAAAATACGAGAAAACGAACGAGGATGACATACACGAGTGTGAGGCTTTCGACTTTGGAAAGAGAATCGGGAATAGCTCCACCAAGGCTGTTGTTGTTAAGCCGTCTGTCTTGCTCGAAATAGAAAAATTTGGAGTTAATCTAAGTGAAAGTCGAAGATATATTAACTTCTAAAAGTTTCTAGAGGCGGGAAGAAGTTCCGGAACTCACAGATAATTTAAATTGTATAAATTCCCTAAAGAATTGGGAATTTCACCGGTGATCTTGTTGTTTGAGAGATCAAGTGTTTGGAGTCTTTCTAATTTCCCAATAACCGGCGGAATCAAACCCGTAATTTCATTATTCTGCAGCAACCTACAATAAACAATGTAGAGAAGGGTGAATTCATGAATTAACATTATTATTGAAAATTTAAATTATATGAATAAACAATATTAAACAAATTACATACACAGACTGTAAATTCGTGAGGTTGCCAATTCCAGGCGATAAGGTACCGGACAAGCTCAAACTGGGCAATCCTCTGTAAGAAAAATCAAAAATTAGTACCAAATATCATTAAATGAAGCAAGATTCGGTCATGTAATAAATGCGGGTTTTTTTTTTCTAGATTTTTCGGTAGTGAGTTGAACTTACAGAGCAGAAACATAACCATCTGGGGAACAAGTAACCATTCTCCAACTACAAGGATCCACAGAATTAGCATCCCAATTCTCCAGTACATTGTATGGATCATGTAAGTCACTCTTTATAGCAATTAAAGCAACAACTGCAAAATAAAAGATAAAATTAAAAATAAACTAACTATAAAAGCAATAAAGAAACAAGGGTTCAATTCCAAATCAAGAAAATTCTTTCATCATTATAAAAAAAAAAAAAAAATAAAGGCCAACTATAAAAGCAATCAAGAAACAGGGAAAACAAGGGTTCAAATCCAAATCAAGAAAATTCTTTCATCATTAATAATAAAAAAAAAAAAAAAAAGCCAACTATAAAAGTAATCAAAAAACATGTAAAACAAGGGTTTAAAATCCAAATCAAGAAAATTCTTTCATCATTATTAAAAAAAAAAAAGAGTGAATATTCTAAAGATGGAATTTTTACCTTCATAGTTGACACCAGAAGGAGATAGGGTTGAGTAAGAGCCCTTAACCATTGCCAAAACCAGCAATACAACTTGCCAGAACAGAGATTTCACTATTTCCATACTCTGGTAATAGCAAAAAAATTCACTCCAAAAAATTCACCTTCTCTGCATAATTCTCATTCCCATTACAGAACAAGGGCCACATTCTCCACACACACAACGCATTAACTCATCCCAAACAGAATCAGACCAATTAAAAAGCAGCAACCCCCCAGGAATCAGAATCCTTTAAAGCAAAAAAAAAAAAAAATCCTTTCTTTCCAATTCTGTCCCTAAAAACTACCTTAAATTACAGATATAAAAAGAAAAAACAACCAAGGAAAGAAGCCCAGATGATAAAGTTGCAATCTTGAGCCAAAAAAATAAAGGGTATTATTTTCTTGAGAGATCTGGGAAATGTGGTTAGTGTGTGAATTCCATGCTGTTTTTTTTAACTGTAAAGGATGCAGAATTCTTTTTGCCCTTTGGGGAATTTTATCTCTTCTTACAGCTTCACACCTGTTACTGTGTGTGATTCTTCACACAGCAAAACCCCTATTCCTATATCAAGATTGTTCACACATTTCAAAATATAATTATTATCTTTTTATTTAAGCAGATGAATGAATGAATACAAACATGGTGCAAAATGTCCAGAACATAAAGCCAAAGGGGCCTCACAGATACAGATGTGGACAGTGTAAAAAATTTAAAAAAAAAAAAAAGGAAAATTGAATAATAAATAATTTAAATTGGTGAAAAGCTAGTTGTATTTTTTGGGGAAGCAAAAAAGTAAGCTTTATATTCAGTGATTTGGACTGAAGGGATGTGCGTGTGTGATTGATTCATCACAGAGAACAATGGTATGTCCTTAAGGCAAGAAACCAAAGCAAAACCACTTCCTTTTTTTTCTTTTTCCTTTTTTTTTTTTTTTTTTTTTTTTGCAGGTAAGCTTTTGGCAGATCACGTGCTTGCCTTGTCCTGGTCTTTGTTTGCTTTTGAATTTCATTCTTAAAAAAAAAAAAAAAAAAAAAAAAAATCTTGCTAAAATTTTAAATTACGAAAAAAGTCTTTGGTCTTTAGGTAATTCCAATTATAACCCTAAAATTATAAATTTTCTTGCACATCCACCCTTGTGGTGTGAAATTTAGTGAAATTTTCTAGATTATCTCGGATATTTTCCGGTTTGTACATGTTTAACCTATTGTAGCTCACATTTAAGAAACAAGATGATCATAAGATGTATGTATTTTGGCTTGTAAATATCAGGTTATGGTACATCAAAAACTGTATTTTTGCATAAAATGAGTACAGACCATAGAACATTCCACGGAACTAGAAGATTCTGTTGAATTTGACACGGTAAGAATAGACACGTGTCGGAAGATTTATAATTGAGAAGAGTGATTGTAATTACCCAAATATTAGGGGTTTTTATGTAATTTGAATTTATTTAAGGAGTTGGACCAAATTTACCCAATTTTAAATGATTTTAGTCTGCTAAAGTTATTGTCGGGCATGGCTCTGTTTGCTACTGTGACTTGTTTTTAATCATCATGCATTCACTATTTATTGTCCTAACAATTCACTGTTGTTAACTGAATTGATTAATTAATTAATTAATTAATCATAAACATGGTTAAACAGGGGTAAAAGCGATATTTTACACAAATATGTGAAATCCTACCACATTGAGTAATTATTGGCAAATATTTATTTAGGCAAAACCAGAAAAGGGGCAAGAGAGATGTCACCTCAACTTTTCCATTAAAGTGTAGTTTGGTGAGTTTTTATTTAATTTTCAGTTTCATTTTAATTCTATAAACTAGAGTTGGTGAGATAAATGATGTTATATGTAACAATATAATATTTTTTTCTTATGCCATGTTGGAAAAAAAAAAGAGAGTAGCTATAAAAAAAATTATTACTATATTCTTAAAAAGTATTAGATTAGGCTATAAAAAATATTATTATATTCTTAAGAAAAAGAGAATATTTATAACTCCAATGAAACAACTCTAATATGCGCCTGTGAGTGCTGCGCTGGCAAGGGTGTTTCTTGACTGTGTGTATGTGTGTGTGCGTGTGAGAGAGAGAGAATTTGTTTCTAATTTTCTTTTTAGAGAGAGAGAATTTGTCTCTAATATATTCATATGATAGTAGCAACTAAAATCTTGCATATGCATTAGTAAAAGATTTTAAGAGTAAAGTAATTAATTAAACAAAGAAGGGCATTTTAGACAAAAAAACATTCAATAAGCAAAATCAAGAATTGTAAACATTGGGGAAAGTGCATTAATTTGTGTTAAATTGTGAAACCCCATACACAAGGGTATTTTTGTCGCATTGGAAAAGCTGAATATTCTCTCTAGTCCACACTTGCTCATAACTGATTTAACTTTCCATTAAAATATTATTTTTTCCTTAATTCTTTAACATAATATTTGTGTTTAAATCATGGATTAAAGAGGAATTCCTTGGCGTTGGAGAGTGAGCATTGCAGCATGCCAATTTCAATTTAAGAATGTTAAATATGATATTTAAGTTTTAGCCCCTAAACTTCTGTAATTTGCTTACAGGTACATAATTGATTAGATTAAATGGGCCCAACCCGGGCCCAATAAGAAAGACAAGTGATTGACGTTAAGCACAAATCTTTGTTCTCCTTTCTATGTTATGGGTTTATTTTGGTAAACAGTAATCTAAATTATGATTTGACATCCACTTTTTGAATTATTGGAATATTTAAAGTTTTTCCACTGCGTATTTTGTATAATCTCAAATCAAAAATAAAAATTACTTTTTTTTCTCAAATTATTCTCTCAAAATGTATTTTCTCAAAACAAAATGTAAAAATTATTTTCATTCTCAAATTATTCTCTCAAAATGTATTTTCTCAAAATAAAATGTAAAAATAACTCACGAAACCGTTCCAAACATTATCGTGACTTTCGTAATTGGGCTTTAAATGGCATAACATTTGTTTGTTAGGCTTTTGAAGTTGGGCCCATTGTGGTCAAATTATTGGGAAAAATTGTCAAAATTGCAAATATATTATGCTCTTGGGCTTTTCAAATTGAGCTTTTAATGGCCTAACATTTGCTTTTTGGGCCTTTTAAATTGGGCCCAATATGGTCACATATTGTAGGAAAAATTGACCCACGTTGCAGAAAGTTCGACCAGTTAAATAAAATGAAAACAGAAGACCAAAAGATTACCGAACATTATGGCAATGTTTGGAAGCATTATTATTTTATTTTCATTGTTTCTTCAAAATAAAATCATGCTTGCTCGTTAAACTTGCACCTTGCAATAATTTCTTCACAACAATTTTAAAAATTTATCAGTTATTCAATCACAATTTGACTGTTACAGTAAAATAATTTGAATGTTTTAGTAAAAATAAAAATATACATCACTTTGTCCTTCAATTTTTTCACAAATACATTTCCAATTCAACTCGGTGGACTCACCTCGAACCTCCGATTCTCCGCCCTCATAACTCTACCCAACTCGTCGATCCCGACTTCGGCGCACGTAAAAACTAACCTCTCCCCAATCCTTTCCTCACGCGCCACCACATTATTCACGCTCCACCACCTACACCCGCCGTCGGGGATCAACTCGCACGCCACCACCTCCTCCACCCCCCACGTATTGTTGTACACGTAGACGGTACTTCCAGCAACCCGAATATTTAAGGAACAATATCCAAAGCTTTCACTCCTCAACTTCTCCACATACGCCGAAGGCATTTCTCCGATCTCTTCGCACTCGAATTCTTCTTCTCCGACTCTCCACACCTTCACTCTGGCAACGTTTTGAATTTCCCATAGTCCGACCAATATCAGGGTATTGTTGGTGTACCCGATGTTGTAGCTTTGAACGGGTTGACCCGGACTCAGCTTAAACGCGTCGGACCAGGATTTCACCACCGGGTCAAACCAGTAGATCGAACCGGATTCCTTAACGGCCACGATGAGTTTCTCGTCCGTGGCGGCGACCGACAGCCAAATCGATGCCGACGTGTCTCTCAGATTTCCCGGCATTGAGTCGCAAGCGTGCCAGGCGCACGTGCTCAAATCGTAAATCTCCACCGCCATCGGATCGTCTTCGAAATCGCATCCTCCGCCGGCGACTACGACGGAGTGCCCCACGCGCGCGACGATTGGGTCCCTACGCAACACAATTGGACCGGCCACGTGGCGCCAATCGAAACCCAGGGGGTCGAAGGAGAAGGAAAATCGGGAAGAGGAGAGCATGTAGAGGCAATTGGAGTGGGAGGATTTGAGATCGGAGATGTACGGGATCGACGGCCGGGATAGTTTTACCCAGACGCCGGAGCGTGGATCGTACGCCTGCGTGGTGGTGGCGTACGGAGAGCGCGTGCCCTGGGTGTGGAGGATCAGCCACGGCCGCGGCTTGTTGTGGTGGATTAGAGAGGAGGAGACGGCGGCGCGCCATGAGTTGGACACGTGGGAAGCCGACACCAAGTCGACGAGCGGCACGTGCGAGAGGATGGTCTCCAATACGTCGGCGTGGAATTCCGGTACCTCTAGTTGCTCCGCCATTTGTCGATCTGCCATTTACGGCGAATCTTTTATTATATATAAATCTCCGGTCAAACTTTCAGTGGTTTTTGCGTACGTGGAATTTTTGAATGTATGTAAAGTTTGTTGGGTTACCTGTATTTATCGTTGCGAGATACAGACTATTTCCTAATAAAATAATAAATAACACTCAACTTACTTTGATCGATTCATTTTACTATTAATTTCAAAACTGTAACACTAATTAGAAAGTCTTAATTTTCCAACATAAGTGTTGCAACTTATTATGTGAAAAAGTAATACTTTCATAACTAGAATTTATCGTATCAATCATTTTTATAGTGTCACATTTTTATGAATTTCTTTGTAAACTATTAATATTACAACTTAATGATAAATTTCTATGATCGCTTGACTTTGTATGTTGGTCTAGTTTTCTTTGATAACTATCTCATTTGTTCACTGGAGAAGGTCTTTGCGATAATTACTGAAAGAAAATATGTGTATTATTTTTCTCGATGCTCCGAAACTCTATTCTACCGGGAGTATATATAGGGTTAGGGTTTCCCCAGTCCACCATTGGTAGGTCTCCCCTTTTTCCTTAGTTTTATGGGATATCTTTTCTTTAAATAACATGATTATCCATATTCGACATTCCTATTATATGGGCCGCTCTTATATTATGAGATCGGTCTTATGAGGTTCGTATCTTCTTTGTGCCGCGTGCCTTTCAAGCCAAGAACTCTGGCTACTTTTAAGCACCTCTCTTAGGGTTATTTGTCCATGAAGAGTTGCCGAATTGGGTCTGACCTTTTATTGTGATCTAAATCGATACGATCGTGAATTTTTGCTCACTTCGACAAATCTACCCTTATCGTGTGTGATACACATTGATGAACTAATTTTGACGTGTCGAAAGCAAGGATAGATCTCTCAGTCTAAAAACTAAAGTGACAGCTTGTTCAAATTTGACAATTCGAACTATAGTTCAATTTAATAAATTGAACAACATCAAAGACCAATAACAAAAGATGCCAAATTGTGGGGGCCATGTGACTGGATAAAGTCTATCCAGACTACGCGTAATTCATAAATATCAATAATAGGCAATTTTTATAAATAGAAATAAATAGATGTAAATATTTGTTTGACAGTCAACATGACTCGTGAGAATTAACGGTATTCTATGTAATTTATTAATACATATAAATATGCTACAAAACCTCTAGTAAAAATATATCCACATACCATAGATTTAAAAGTTGAGAAGTCCAACAAGGACGCTAAAGCAAGTGAATTTGTGTCAATTAATTTATGTTCTATTTTTTTTGTCAACAGTAGTTAGGTCGAGTTTGTCACACATGGTTAATATAGTATGATTTACGTTTCTCGTATGATTTGAAGTTATTATACGAAAGTGTAGGTTTATCGAGTGCGACTACATAAAATTTTGGTAGATTGGTGAGGAAAGCAATCTTAATGTTGACATTTCATATCAATTTGATTTAATTAGCAATGTTGACATTTCATATACATTTAATTTAATTATATTGTACACCACTAGTGTGTGAATCTGGCCATTAATGGTGTGAAGGGGTTATATGCTAATTTTTTTAATTGACGATACTATCTACAACTACAAGAGGGTTTAAACTACACTAGAAAAATCACGTGCGACGAACCTGATCGAACAAGTGTTCGGTCACCCTTAAAAAAATGGTAACTACTCCATTTGTTATTAATTAAGTGTTGTTTAAGTATTTAAAAAAGTTAATAAAATATCTATAGTTATCTAAGAAACATATATAATATGACCAATAAAAAATTGAAATACTTTGATTAAGTTTTAAGTATTCAATTCAGGGTGTATTGTGTACGATTCATTGCGTTTCGATGGTGCAAATTGCTATTAAATTTTTTTTCAAGGGTGCAAAGTGTCAAAATACTACGTTTCAAGGGTGCAAAGTGGGATTAATCCCTATTTATTTGATATTAAGAAGAAAAAAATAAGTTGAGGATACAAATTGAAATCCTTGGAAATAAAATGAGAAACAACAATTAGACTAAAAAAAATAAAAAGTTGAAATTCAAAGTGGAAAGCAAATGAAGGTTTAAATCAGCATTGGCAACTTTTCAAGCAGCTGCACTGATGCACTCAATTGCCTGTTTGCATATTCCAGTCATTGTTGCTTCTGGTCCATAAACCTGCACCACAGTAAAATTAATTAAATGAATGTTTTAATTTCGTCGGACGGGTTTTTTCGTGTTTCAACCAGTTAATGACCAACAACTTTTTTTAATACCTCAATGGGAATGCCGATTTCTTCTGCAAGAGTCCTCATTTTCTCGAGCCCCTTTTGGTAATTCGGACCTCCTCTTCTCACGTATAAATTCATTCTAGCTGCCTTGAGCTTCGCCTCCTGTTTTTACCCAAGTATAGATTAAGATTTCGACATTTTTTTATGAAGAAATTGAAATTCGTTAAAAAAAATTATATAAAAAAAAAAGAAGTACCTTCTCTCTTAAAGCTCGAATAATCCCACTAAATGTGGCAGCTACATCGGTGAAGTTAGCTATTCCACCACCTATCACAAGGGCTCGCCTTTTGCCATCGGGATCTGCAGTTGCACACTGTAAAATTGATTTATTAGCTTATTTCTTGATATCGAGTTTTTTTTTTTTTTTTTTTTAAATAAATGTTGAGTGTTAAAACTTACATCAATAACAACTCGGGCGTATTGCAAGACTTCCTCTTCATTGGGGGCCCCACTGTATTCTGCGTAGTTTCCGAGCTCCGAAGCATAGCCAAGGTCTCCAACCTATATTGTTAAAAAAATAATATGAGGCTAAAATAACCAAATAATCGAAAAGATTTGAATAAAATCAATGGTATTTATAAGTAAAATTATAGAATATTAAAGTTGAGGAACACACTGTATCTGCATAAATGACACTTGCACCTCCTCCAGCAACCATGGTCCAAATTCGGCCTTTCGGATTCAATACCGTGAACTTGAGAGACGCACTTGTCTGAAAAATTAATAATGTAATAAAAAATAAAAGTAAGTAAATCTTTTGCACTAATAAATATTTAATTTTAAATCAAATTTTATTACGCTGATTGATTGCTAAGTAAGTACCTTTTCATCAAGTCCATGAATAAAGCTTTCTGTAGGACTCATCACTCTTCCAAATGGCAACGGGAATTCAATATTTCCCCATCTGCATAATCGAGATTATATTACTTATTTTACATCAATATATGAGAATTTTTCAAGAAAATTTAATCGCGAAAAAAAGGGAAAATAAAGAAATCGAGAATCAACGTTACTTTTTGAAGTTTTTGAAAGTAGCAGTGTCGTCAAGCTCGCCTCTCATATCCAAAGGGTAAGGTTTCCCGTTGACCAATGTGAAAGGATTCATCTCAAGGAAAGTGAAGTCCAAATCTAAGTAAAAAAAAAACACAAACATCTCAGTTATTATTACCACAACCTTAAAAAATGGACCGGCTTTTGTTCTTCCAAGATCTTATATGCTCACCTAAAAATAAAGCATACACGACTTTGATGAAATCTTCAATCACAGTTTTGATCTGCACCACGAAAAAAAATGGAATTTCGTGTAAGCAAATTTGATACATACTGATTAGTGGTGAAAATCAGATGAGTCGGATCAGAACTAAAACTACTTACAATTCCATTCCAATCCAAAAAGATATCAAAAAATTCGAATTTCAGAAATTGAAATGAATAAAATCTGAAATTTCTAATTTTTTAATCACCTAAAATATAAAATTCACAATAATATTGATATTAAAAGTGTGATAATCTGAAAAAATAAAAAATTGGAATATTGGAATTATTTTCGAAAATCAAAATCGGATCAGATATCAGTATCTCATCTATATTCCAATTCCGACCCCAAAAAAATCGCAAAAAATCAGAATTCGGAATGAGAAATATTGTTCCAAAAAAAAAATTCGGGTCAGGATCGGCGGAAATAGGAAGTTCCATTCCAAATTTCCATCCCTGACACTGATCAAACAAACATTATAATAAATTTTTCATTGATAAATCAATAAATATACCTCCAACGGAAGTGTCGCCACAAGTGGAGCACATACTTCTGATGTAAAAGCCACTCCCGTTGCCACAGATATAGTTTTCACCTAATTAGAGTAGAAAAATACACCGCAGTCTTCAGTTTTCAAATTTAATGTGAATTTAAAGAAAACAAATACAAATAAAAAATGAAGTTGCGATGGCAAACCTTGTCCCAATTCTCTTCGATATCGATTCCTCCACACTCGGAAAAGCTAATGGTACAACCAAGTCTCTCAGAGACAATGTTAAGGTAGTACTCTTCATCGTGCGGAACAAATGGTTCGACAATGAAAGTAGTAATCGGCCCTTTGCAACCCCCCATCTCAACCTATTTAATTTGTAGATATTAATTAATTATTTTTCAGGTACAATTAAGACAGATAATTAAGGAAAGGGAAAAAAAGATTATAGTACCTCTTTACCGAGGCGGTCTTTGACAAAAGCAGCAACTCCAGCCAAATCTAGGTTTAGAGCAACAAGACCACTTTTGCCACGTTTGCCGAATAGCATATCTGGTTTCACAACCAGTTTTGTGGATGACATCCATGGCTCGCTGTCGACGAGTTCTTTGAAATCGGTTGACTCAGTGACCTAATTCATTGCGGACGAATATTTAGTCAATTAAGACGAAGCAACTTGATTGCAAAATAGGACCCCCCCCCCCCCCCCCCCCCCCCCCCCCCCCCAGTTTCTTGATAAAGACTGTTGTCTTCAAGTTTTTAAATATTCCAAGACAACTAATCTTAAAGACCGTATTTCTTAAAGACGATTGTTTCGCATAACTCTTTACCTAACTTATAGAGTGATTTGTTTCGGCGTTTGCACGAGAAAACGACGGATGCGTTTGTACTAGATAGATAGATCACATGATAAACCTGTCTAGAATTTCATCTACTTTTAGGACCACCTCACCAATTCACCAACCATTCAAACACAATACTTTCTCGACAAATATTTCCCCAACAATAGATTTAATTCTTGAAAATCATGCAGAATTACTAACAAATAATGGCAAAAATAATAATGACAAATAATTCAAGAAAGCTAGATTAACAAAAATGAGTACAGATCCTTTAAAAAAAAAAAAAATTAAATTAAAAAAAAAAAAACACAGAACCTATTTCACTTGCAATAAGTGATTAAAATGTAAACTCACTTGGGCAGATTTGATTTCCAATTCAGACCCAGTAATCCTCTTGTAATGCTCCTTCAACAATCTCTTCGAATCATACTCTCTGATCTTCTTCCTCGCCATTTTCCCCCTTTTTTAACCTAATTTCCAAATTCAAGAAAATCACACACAAAAATTTAAATTGAGCCCAGATCCCTAATTCCCAGATCAGAATCAAGAACCCTAGAATAAAATCAAAAAACAAGATCCACAAAATTTAACATAGAATGGGTATATATATATATATATATATAACTGATTAACAAAAAAGAACACACAAAGAAAGTTGAGATCTTTACAGCTGAACAAACAGAGGAGATGAGACAGATGGAAAACTAGTTATTACTTATCAACAAAAGCTGAAATCTTGGAAAATTTGATGGCATCTATTTATAGGTGGGGTGGGGGTTTGATCTACATGAGTTGTAATAATAAATATAATATTAATTGTTTTGTGTTTTTAGCGGGAATTTTTTGTGCAGAAATGGACACATATGATATGGCACAAAACATTACATACCTACCTACCCACCCACCCAGGTGGGCCTGCTCACTTGCACCAAACTGGTAAATATTGTGGTGCTAATTTATTTAAATAATTAATAGTGGAGTTCGGTCCAATAAGTGGAACTTAATTTGCACACTTAGTTTGGTAACCATTTTGATTTTTTTTTTTTTTTTTCTATAACAAATCTCCTAATTTTATTACACTATTGATAGCTTTGGTTTTTTAATTTAGTAATAAAACATTGAGATATACTCTTATTTGAAATTATATATTATTCTTAATTTTGTTTCGTATCTACTCAAGATTTGTTTTTAATGCATATCATGCAACAGCCCTAGTGTAAGACCTACTCTCTCCATGTCAAAATATGTGTCGTTTTGAATTGTTGCGCACATATTAAGAAAACTAATAAATGTGCGTCGATTTTAGAAAAAAAAATATATAGATGACTAAAATATTCATGTTATTAATGTTGTTTCCATTGATTCTCAGTCAATTAATGAATAATAATAAGGGTAAAATTGAGAAAATACTAATTAATGCATCATTGAAATTCTAAAGTGACAGATAAATTGAAACAAGAAAAATGCCCTAAAGCGACAATTAATTTGAAACGGAGGAAATATATACTAAAACTAACTCATTTTTTTTATAATTATATTTATTCCCTGCAATTTGTAGATTTCTTACATTAACACTCTTGTATTAAATAGTCCAGTCAAATTCAAAACACTACTTTAGGCCTTTAACAATTTTGAACCCGTGGACCGAGTGCACTAAAAAAAATAAAAAATATAATTCCAAAAAAAAAACAATTAAAATTAAAATGCCAGTCCAAGCAAAATAAAGTTGACTTAAACCATAGCAAACATTAGAGTCATAATTGCACTGCCGGCTAATTTTGCATTATTATAAAAAAAGACCCACATTTTCAACATATAGTAATATGAATGCCATTTTCCCTACTATCAGTTTTCCATGCCCTTGGTCAGCATTTCATCGCTTGTGAAACTCATTTTTTAAGTCTTCATACGAGAAAAAATAAATTTAAAAAAAAAAAAAAATTGACCAGTTTCTTGTTATGTAGGGACAATTATGTCATTTTACAAGTAATGGAGAATGACTTGGCTGCTTTTTCAATAAAGATAAGAGTTATTTTTATTTTTTTTTAAAATAGCAGATTAGGCTCATAGGTCTTGAGTTAATTGTAACTAATAGCGAGAGTATAAAAACTCTGATATTAATTATAGAAATATTCCATTTCAGCCTCCTAATTTGACTTACGAAAGTTTGAACCAAAAACTGACTGCCATAATTACATTGCACCAATTGATTATTGAATTTTGTGAATGCATACAAGATACATAGCGATGAAAAGTTGTTATGTATTTAATTTTTTTTTAAAATTGACTAAAGAAAATAAAAATATTGTTATAGTAATTTATATAATTAATAAAATTTTCTGGTTACATCACACTTAATTTGGCAAGTACAAAGAAGAGAAATTGGGCCGTTCGTATGTCAAAAAATAAAATAAATAATTGGGCCGTTAGTACCGAATGTAATTGGGTTACATTTATAATAAATAAAGAAATGCATTTTCCAGAACTATAGTTGGAAAGATAAAATACGAAATTAATTTGTTGAAAGTTGAAACTATTTATTTACTACGGCTTGCTATCTAATTATTTTTAGTGCAAATTAGGGTCAACTCCTCCAATTAACGTCAAATCACGAAAAATCACTGAACATCGATGTTTAGATAATTACAATAATCTCTTAACTTAATTTTTTTTACATATCTATTATTACGGTGTTAAATTTACCTATTGAATGAAGGATTTTTTTCGTAAAATAATACATAATTAAATTGTGGTTGTAATTACCGAAAGATGAAGGTTTTTTTTTCTCATAATTTGACAATAAGTAAGTACTAGTAAATATATTTAGTTAATTATTAGTTGGCCCCAAAAAGTGAAATAAGAAAATTTCCCAAAACGAAATAGGGTATCTCTATTATTCTTGACAAAATTCTGGAAACGAATTTCCGTTCCTCCGGCGCCGGCGCAACGACAAGGTTTTCCCTAATTCTGCCGTCGCTTGAATTTCTCGTTTATTTTATTAATATGAATTTAATTTTCTGAAATGGAAATGGTTTTACAGTGTTAGGTTTCTGAATAGAAGCGATGGATACAGAGAAATTAGGGCAATTGAAGATCCAAATGCAGCAGTTTTTGAACGAAGCCCAGCAATTTGTTCAGACAATCCCTACTCGGGACCTCCTGGCCGCCATCTCACTAGTCCTGCTCACCTTCCTTATGTTGTTAGTCGGTATGTTCGTCTCGCGGACTTGATTTTCTTTCAGTTTTTTTTTGTGAAAATTTTGAGTTCCGTCAAGTTTTCTTTACCCGCATTGATAAAGTGGATGGGTTTCTGTGTTCGGGTTTTTGCGTGTTGCTCTAATGGAATTTTTCTATTGGATTATAGCTAGCCTTAAAATTAGGTTTCAGCTTTGTCGATTTTTCGCAATTTATGCAATTTCTCGACAAGGTTATTGTAGAATTCATACTCAGCATTGTAGCTGGAGAGTAGTGCTTTATGATCTGAAACATTAGTTTTCATTTTAATTTTGATCCCTTTTCAGTAATCAATTGTAGGATGTTCGGTTTTTTCCGGCTATGTTATCTGGTTTTACTCGACGAACAAATTAAATGACCTTAGTTTGCACTTGGGAACTGCAATTTGAATAATTACTTGGATATAGACTTGCATTTGTGTTGCTATTTATTCTGCAACCTGATTGAAGTATATTTAATAAATTATTAATTTGCATTTCAAATCTCTCTTTGGGTCACGATTTTAATTGGGATAAGATAAGAACTGATTTTTTTGCAGGCAAAAACATGATCTACATTGGGTCGATAATATTTTCGAGAGAGGCGCACTAAATGATTGCTACGAACTCTTATAGTCTACATACATAGATATATATGTTGACATTTAGGTTATCTATGTGCTTCTTCGCGTCTGTCTGTCTAGTTATCTATCTACCTATCGTTCGGTATATACATATGTGTCTGTATGTATAAAATTCATTATTTTGGAGAAATTAAGGGTGCAGAATAGTTGCAATAGATATATTCGTCAAATCTTTTTTTAGTAAACTAGTTATGTTCGTCACCTCTGTTCCCATTCCTCTGTAGCGACTCTGATAATTAAGTCCTGTTACTTTGCAGTTCGTCTTGTCAAGCGTAGAAAACTTAACACCATTTTACTAACTGGGCTTAGTGGAAGTGGCAAAACTGTTCTCTTTTATCAGGTAAACATCAAATATAGTAGTTTGAAGTGAGGATTTTTTTTATTATTTGACGAAGCGAATGTCCAAACTATATGGCCTTTTAATTAGACTAACCAACGCATGATGTTTTGTCTAATTTAGCTTCGAGATGGCTCCTCCCACAAAGGTACTGTCACATCAATGGAACCTAATGATGACACCTTCATACTACACTCCGAGACGAGTAAGGTAGTCAAGAATTATTAAGTAGTGGGTGGTATTGAAAATCTTAAATTAGGACTGTTTTCCGAAGTAGTATCATGAGAAATTTACAGGGGAATTATCTTCTTGGTTTTATTACATTTTGTTGTTTAATCCTGTTTGGTTAATTGCAGAAACGAAAAATAAAGCCTGTCCACATTGTTGATGTTCCTGGGCATTCACGACTTCGGCCTAAAGTGGATGAGTTCTTGTTTCGAGCTGCTGGCATAGTTTTTGTGGTTGATGCTGTGGAGTTTCTACCAAATGTTCGAGCTGCTTCTGAGTATGTTTTATTTTAATTATAAAAGTATAGGCATGCATATAGACGCAAGTGAAGTGAGAGACGACGATTGAGAAAACAACTAATGTTTTTTTTCGGATTTTCTGATAATAGGTACCTATTTGATATTTTGACCAAGGCTACTGTTGTGAAGAAGAAGATTCCGGTATTACTCCTCTGCAACAAGGTGGAGAAAGTTACTGCACACTCGAAGGATTTCATCCGAAAACAGCTGGAGAAGGAAATGTGAGATACTTTTTAGTACATTATCAGTTTTCCTAATCGAATTTTTTTATCCCCCTCGTTTGATTGACTTTTTTTTTGGGTTTTAGTGAGAAGCTCCGTGCTTCGAGGACAACGCTATCTTCAGCAGATATTAATGACGAATATACCCTAGGGGTACCTGGAGAGGCCTTTTCATTTTCCCAGTGCCTTAACAAAGTTACAGTGGCAGAAGCATCTGGTTTGACTGGCGACATCACTCAGCTAAAGCAGTTTATAAGAGAACATGTGAAGGCTTAGCAAAATGTGTAAGAATGGCCGGTGAAACTAACTACTCATCTAGACCTTACGGATCATTTGAAGGCAGTTAATTCGAATTGGAAATCTGAGAGGCAATACTTTGCTGTAGTTTAAAATCTTGAAATTGGGATTACTATTAGCAAACTGTTTGTGGATTCCGTCGATGGTGTTGATTTTTTTTTTTCCGCCTTGACTATTGATTTTTGAGTTGGGATTTTCGAACTTACGATGCTTGATTTTTTTAATTTTTTATTTCGGGAAGTTGTTCGTTCTACGTCCGAATATGCACAAGTTGAAATCTGGATACAAATGGTTTTAACCAATCAAGAATTATAATAGCTCTCGTGAGTTTACTGCTGAATCTAATCCTTAAAAACCGTAAGAAGAGACGAAGTTATAGTTTTTAGCTCTTACAATTAATAATAACTGTTAATAACTGATGAGTAAACAATTTGGGGTTCATTGGGAAAAAACCGGAGATGACCCATTTGTTGCCAGCCTGGTGAAGGTGTATGTATAGATTGTTGGCTCACATCGAACGGCAGTAGCAGTTATCTCGATAAGAAGCGTCGTTTCATCCAGAATATGAGGCTGAATATCCCAAAACATGGGAAAAGCAGAATCCCTATGGCCAAGTACCTGCAAATTTTCGTTATTAAAACATCTACATACACACATAAGAAGATGTTCGTACGTACGTACCATAACGGAGCATACGGAGATGACAAGTCCAGAAACGGATATGGCCACCTATTTCAATAAGAGATTTTTTTCAGTGTAAATAAAATAATCATATTTGTTGTGTTTATTTTCGAAAAGTATTAGCTGTAATGATACCTTATTGAAACACAAGCATGAATGATCCACTGGAAAATGACGAATATACCCGTCCATAGAACAAAATATGCCATTCGAAAGAAAGGAAACCGCTGCAAAATATTCGATAATTCCAATTAAATAGTGAACTCGGTAGTAATGATAAAAGTGAGCGGTCAGCAAAAAGAAATACCAGGGAGTTTAAACTTGCATCGCCCAAGAGAAGAACAGCATTCAGAGAATGCTTGCAAACAATAAGCTGCACACGGTTTTATTATTTGTCGATTAAATAAATAAAAAGAAGGCAAAAGATCGAAAATGATTAGACTTCAAAAACATTATACTTACGTAATTTATTCTGTAGTCTTTGGCGGTGAGAAACGGGTAGATCATCAACCAAAAGATCGAATCAGTGAGCACTACAGCCCCAGAACACATCTGCACTAGAAGTAAAAGAGAAATTAAAAAAAATAACCAAATCCTAAGAAAATCTGCAAGCCTTTTTTCTTTTGCCATCATAATACTATCGAATTGTAATAATACATTATTTTGTTTAAAAGGCCGATGGAAGTACCTGAAAAACTATTTGCAAGGCATATCCCTGAACCGAAGCAGCAGTTCTGTGATTAGTTTCGCTTTGATGATTCAAGCTTACGGTGTGGCTGACCATATCTGAATCCTCCCCAAGTGTCGGTGGTATGTATGACCCACCTTCTGCATCTGTACGGTTATAACAATCTTGCTCTGGTTTTACTTGATGGTAGTAACGAAGACATCCCTGAATTGAGACTGAAGACCCCAGCTACAAAATTCACAAGTAAAACCCATAAAATATACGAACTCGGCAAAAAATACAGCATAAAATAGATACATCGAAATTTAAAAGGCCGATTAGTTAAGAATAAGGCTCCGTTTGGGTTGAAGGATTGAAGTTCAAAATTGCATATCCATGATAACAAATCCATTTGAAAGAATTCAATTTATGATCAATTTCGAACCCTTGCATTTCATTTCTAGTGGATTTCAGATCCAACTTATATCGAGTCGTTTCTAGCAAATGTCTTAATCCAAATGAAACCTAAGCACCCTTTTTTATTTGGGTATTTACCAAAAATTAAATCGAGAAACGAATTGTGTAACTATAAGCTCAATTAAGTATCAAACGAAGAAGTATATAGAGGCGTGACGTACCCCGAAATAAATGGTTACCAAAGTAAATGTCCACCTGTTTGACAAGAAAGCGTGAGAGAAACGTTCAAATCCTCAAATCATGCTTCGTAGAAAGAGCAAATTCTTAAGCTCGAGAAACGAAGAAGCAAAACCATGAGAGGACTTACTCGGTATAAAAATAGAATTTGCCGACACCGTTTGTTATAATATCAGCAAGAAGCAACGCAAGCAATACACTGAAAGCAACTATCCTATAAGCAAGCAGCCAAATGGGGTGGACCGATTTGGAACACGTTCCCCAAACTTCATCCTCATACAAACAAACTTCCGCCTCACGTTCATCGACACTTTGTCGGTTTCGAGATTTATTACGGCCTTCGTATCTCCATATTACGAGTGCTGAAAATACAATAGCTACGAAAATCCATATTGCACAGAGTAAGAATCTCCAGTTCAACCAATAACTCGGTAATGTCGTGTCGGCTGTCATAGCCAGCAACCGAGTACGATCAAACAGTCCTGTTAACAATCCCATTTTGATTTATTTCACTAGTCTTGAACATTAAATAATTTAAGCACTGTCTTAAATAAAAGACTCAAAGCACAAAAAATATCTTCAAGAATATCAAATGAAGCCGGAAAAAAAAAATAAAAAAAAAATCAAGAATTAGAGCAGAATATCCACTATCAAAGTCCTTAATCGTACTGTTCTGAGCATTGAAGGGCAGTATCGGATTTTTTTTTATTTTTGGCATATTGAGAATTTCAGACTCAGCAACAAAATAATCATGGGAATGAAATACGGTGACTGTGCGTAAAATGCAAAGGGCGTGCCCGACCTGTACCCTTTTCGGCCTACAGAGAACAAACAACAAACACTTGGTATGCATGATTATTAACGTAATTCCTTAACGTGTTTAGAGCAGAAAATCAACATTGGGAAACATGAGAACATGAGATTAGGGAAACGAAGAGATTGAAGGGTTAAACGTCGTCGTACCTCGAATTTCCTGGAATCAATAATGATTCATAAGCCCCTCCGATCAGAAACCCAGAAGAGAGATAGAGGCATGTTTGTGAAGGATTGCTTGATTATCGGAACCGGAGCAGAGTAGGATGAGAGAGGGACTCTGTAAACGTAGCGATTCACTACACTCTATTTTATTACGGATCAATTTCTGCTGCACCGCCATTGTTTATCGCTTTTAATTTTTAATTACAAAATAATATTAGTTTTTTCGAGTGTGGATAAAAAGGGTGGAAAATTGTAATTTTGGTCCGTTGGTATTTTTAGTGATTTAGTCCTGTAAGTTATCATATTTCAATTTTACATGCAATAACTATGTAAAAATACTAATTTTAAAAAATTACAAAATACTAACTTTTATCATCATTAAACGACAGTTCAAAATTCAAACTCGTAATTTTTAACTGTAGTTAGTAATTTTAAGTGTCCATATAAATAAATTTCTACGAGTGTCGAACTTTGAATTTTAACTGTCGTTTAATGATGTACCTAACAAACTCGTAGAAATTTATTTATATGGACACTTAAAATTTATAAATGCTCATCTAATTTGATTTATAGATGAGTCGTCTCACACAATTAAAGTTTTACAAATGGTAAGTTAGATGTCGAATTTATAAATTTACAAGTGTCCATATAAGTAAAATGCGTCACGCTTATTTGTCGCGTCATAAAATTAAAAATCATGCAAAATAGGACTAAAAATATTATATTTGCAAAGTTATTGCCTGTAAAACTGAAACATGATAAGTTAGAGGACTAAATTCCTAAATAGGCCAACATAGAGGTCCAAAACTACAATTTTTCCATACAAAATGAGTGTATTACTTAATTAATTATTGAGAGTAAACTGCAAAAACTACCCCTGTGTTATCTTAAACTAGCAAAAAACCCCCTGTGTTAATTAAACTAGCAAAAACCCCCTATGAAATTTTTTAAGGAGCACACTCAACCCATAACCCATTTGAGTGTTGACCTGCTGTGTAAATACAGTAATACCCTTGGGGATTTTTTCAGTTATTAAATTATATTATTTTTTAGCTATTAAAAAATAGAAATGAGATTAATAGTTTCTAATTAATTTCTTAGTTTTTTTTAATTTTGTTTTTTACTATGATATAATTTCTGCATATTTCAAATTATTTTAAATTTGCTTCTTGAATTGGCTGAAAAGACAATTAAATTATTATACTTATTAAAAAAGACAACTAAATTATGTAAAAAAAAAAATTAATTATACATTTCTTTATCTTGTAATTATTTTTAAATATCCATACTTAATTTGATTTCTAAAATTTTTAATAACATGTCAGTTTAAAATGTTTACCAGATTTTATTAGTATTTCAATTTCTAAACAATCAAAATAAAAAAAAAAATAAAAAAAATAAGAAAAAATCAGAAAAAGAAACAAAAAATGAGAATGCTGGAAAAACTTGGCCGCTCCATCTCCGACAACACCACCACCGTCTTCCCACTTGGAAATAGAATCCCAAAATACAATAAACCAAAAATTTTAATCTCCTTCTTTAACCAGATCCAGAAAAAGAAAAAAGAAAAAAGGGAAAGATTTGAGCTTCTGCAAAACTCAGCAACAACCCAAAAAAAATTCCACAAAAATCCGTCGAATATCAACGCAGATTCCTCCTAAAGTTATGTATGCAAAGAGATTTGACATGGGGTGGATAATTAAAGGCTCGAATGTCAGCTTGTAATCGGGGTTGTAGACTCGGCTCGAATTCGCGCCGCCGCCGCCGTAGAGGAGCTTCCAAATCATCGTGAAGAAGAAAATTAGTTGCTCCGAAGTCCTTACTGATTTTGATCCCCCAATCTCCAGAAGCTCCTCCGGTTGTCTGGCCACTTGTGCTCGAGTGTGTACTTCAAGCGGCGGCGGTCACGGCGGTGCTCGGAGAGCAACAAGGCGAAGCAGCCCATGGTGGAGGATGTGTTGCGGTGGTGGGAGGCGGCTGGACGGGGTGTTAGGAAGATGGAATTAGGGCTTGTGTAGAATTTTTGAGAAATTCATTAAAATACATACTAATACATTTTTTGGGGCAATTTTGTCATTTCAGGTTGAAAAATTCATTACCACCTGCGAGTTGGGCGCGTGTGTCACACGGAAGTGCACTAGGGGGGTTTATGCCATTGACTAAATTTCACAGGGGGGTTTTTGCTAGTTTAATTAACACAGGGGGGTTTTTACCATTTCAAGATAACACAGGGGTACTTTTTGCAGTTTACTCTAATTATTGATTAACACCCCCCAGAACAAACTTAGGAAATATTATGAAAAATACCCCACTTATCCGTAATCACTAAAATCTTCCTGATGTTTGTTTTCATCTTACACCGGACCCCCTTACGGTGCGATTTTTCACGGAATCTTTTTTACTACAGTCAATAATTCACGAAAATTGCTAATCTTATCCCTATAGACGTGACTTTATTTATGCTACTCTTCTAAGACAAAAATTGTTAATTTTTGTCTTAAAAAAGAATCGGCATTGTTTCGGGAATAATTCCTCGACTAAAAAAGAATTCGTCAAAAATCACACCATAAGGGAGTCAGTGTAAGATGGAAAAAGACATTGGGGGAGTTTTGGTAATTACATATAGATGAGAGTATTTTTCATAATTTAGCCTTAGTTTATGGGGGTTTTCATAATTTACGTACCCTATAAATGAAGTCTTGGGGTATAGACCACATTAAAAAATGCTGGTTTTCCATCCACATACGTAATAATAACCTTAACTAAAAGTCTAAAACACATTAAAAAAACTTAGAATCGTATATTTCCACAATAATTAAAATATATACAACAAAAAAAAAAAAAAAAAAAAAAGAACACAATTTAATCATATATATTTATTTTCTCAACAGTTAAATACCACCACTGGTTGTTGACGTTGAATGAATGGAACATGCACGTGGCACAATTAATATATATGACATGCAAAATTAAAGCAAACATCAAACAACATATATTCAAATTCAGTAACAAAATTTAATCCTAGGCAGGGTTTCATTTTCACTACAAAAATAGAACATTGTCTGAAGGCTTACAGTTACAGGTGGAGGAGAGATTAAATACACAGAAAACTACAGTTTAAACAAATAAGCATCACTTTTATTTATAGGTAGACCTGGTTTCATACCACCTTTTAATTTTGTATATATTTCAAACTTTCACGTACTTATCACACATAATAAATACTTCGACAATCGACTCCCGAATCATACGACTTTGACTCGATTAATATCATTTAGCTTCTCCCTATATATATATATATATATACTTCTTGCTTGCCCTTTTCTCCCTCTTCTAATTTCTAAATCATTCTTTTTAATTTATAAAATAAAAAAATGTCGTCGGAGTTGGATAATTCGGTTGATATCGGGCAAGAGCAAGTTTGTTACGTGCAATGTGGCTTCTGCAGTACCGTCTTACTTGTAATTGACGTTTGTTTGTTTTTTTTTCGATTTTTATTGTTCGATTAGTGCTTTTAAGGTTTGGGTTATTATATATATAATTAATTAATATGGTGTTTTAATTTATTAATTCTTGAATTTATTACTATTAGGTTAGTGTTCCATGCAGCAGCTTAACAATGGTGGTTACAGTTAGATGTGGGCACTGCACCAGCATCCTCTCAGTCAACATGGTCAAAGCTTGTTTTGTGCCACTTCATCTCTTTACTCCAATCAATAATCAGCAACAAGAATTAATGGTGATTATTTATTTATTTATTAATTAATTACCTGATAATTAATATTTGCAATATCTATTAATTAAATTAATTGGTTGGTTTAATTTATATATTCTAATTAGGTACAGCCAAAGTGGGAAGTTTGTTCTGAAGAAGTTGCTGCTAATGACAAGAAATTAGCTGCAAATAATAATAACACATGTTCCCCTTCACTATGTTTCTCATCAGACGAAGACGACGACGAAGATTCTATAAATCATATTAACGGAGTTATCCATAAACGTAAAAAAAAAAAAAATTGTTTTTTTCGAAGAAAAATAGTTGTTTGTTTTGCATTTTTCTTGGCATTTTTTCTGATTATTAATTAATGTAATTCAGCAATATATTGTTTCAGCCCCGGAGAAGAAACAACGAGCTCCTTCTGCGTACAATCACTTCATCAAGTAATTAATTACTATTCGAGTAATTAATTTACTTTTATATACGATCGATCTATCGGTTTTATATAATAATTAAATTTGAAATTTCAGGGAAGAAATTAAGAGGTTGAAGATTGAGTATCCCAACATGACTCACAAGCAAGCTTTCGGCGCTGCTGCTAAAAACGTAAGTCTTCCAAAGTAAATCGAACAAACCGATATTAACTTTATTTATTTACTTATTTATTTATTTTGCATGTTAAGTGGGCACATTGCCCTCAAAGTGTAAATAAAGGTGGTGAAGTACTCCATAGCTGCAACGAACGAGACAACGACAAGATGGCTATTAATTACTCGGACGATGTCGATAATGAGGTAATTAATTAATAATCGTTGATTGTGATCCGAGGATTCTTGTTTGTTTTATCGCAAGTTCTTGTCATAAAAATTAATCGAAACTTTTATTATTAAAAACAATTAGTAATTTGAAAACAGAGGAGCCTTAACTAATGAAGCCAAGTTACATGCATACATGTTATTTTCATGACATTGAATTAAACTTTGGATACCATACTATATTTGGTAATAGAAAAAAAATTCAACCACCAGTAGTCAAAAATAATAATTTATATATAAAAAAAAAAGTCAATATTTATATTTAGGTTTAATTAATATTGCTGCAATGGGAACTGCAGGTGCACTGCTTTGGCAAATGGTTTCCATGAAAGAAAAGCGCTGATGCAATCTAATTGCACCAAAACACGTTTTTACTGAACAAGGTCAATTTCTCAAGTCTATTATTGTAGAACATATATCAATTAGTTTAATTAATTAATTATAATTGGAAGTTGTTTTTATTGTTTCTGTTTATTAAAGAAAATGTACGTCATGTTTCAGATCACTTCTACTTTATTTTTTATTATTTTTTTAGTTATATGAAGAAAAAAAATGTGAATGCATGACATGGAATAAAAAGTTTATAGTCAAAGAAAATAATATATTTTCATTAATTAATTAATCAGAATATATTATGGAAGAATACTGAATGGTGAATGAGGTTAATTAGTTCGGGTTTCTAAATTATTGATCCAAATAATGTAGACAAATAATTGATGCGATTGTAATCCACTCGCCGCCGGGATGCCGCCAGAAGTAGTTGCACAACCGCCTAACTTTATTTACGTCATTTTATAATATTGTTTCTCTGTATACATAATTATTAATTATTAATGGGTTATACATGCAAATTGCAATATATTCTAATGGTGATCCAAATGATAAATCCAAGAGTCCATTGATTTATGCACCGCTTCCAACAGTTTCTTTCAATTTTAAATTATTTGTCAATTTAGAATTCTATATTTTAATTTTTCTATTAATATTCTTAGTTTATTAAGAGGAAAATTGTTGGTGAAACAATTAATGAAATAAATCTTCTTGGTCATTTTACTGGATTTTTGTTAGAATTCATGGACATATAAAATGACAAATAACCCAAAACGACAAATAAGATGGGAAGAAGACAGTACTTAAATAGGGTTTTGCGATTTGTTCGACCCTACATTCGGTGATAAACACCGGGTGGGTCTTCTGCTGTCACGTGTCTATTTTTTGTATTTTATAATATATTTCCCGCTAGGGTTTACCTTTAGGGGTTTTAGAAAAATACCCACCCGGTGTTATCACCGGGTGTAGGGTCGAAGGAACCGGGTTTTGCAAATATAGCAACTAATGGGTTAATTAGTGTTAGGAGGGAAAGTTGGAATGGAACTTCCAATTTCTGTCGGTTGCAATCGGAAAACTTCTGATTTTGATATTGTCATTTTCGAAAGTTTAGAATATTACGTATATTTGAAAATAGTTGTCTACAAACAAAAGAAAATAGGATTGGTGGCAGTTAGAATCATTATAGTTATATTTAAAATATTAAAATTTATCATATTAGTAGTTTTAGATTTATAATTTTATGAAGTAGATGTTCTTACTTTTTAAAGTTTCCAAAACTTTTATAATGTTAAAACTCATGTAATTCAAGATTTCCATAGCTTTTGAAATGGGAATGAATTTATAGATTCTAAATGTTTTTAGAAATATACCGAAAAGGTTAATTTTTGCATCCGATTTTCACACCTAATTAGTATCTATATATAATTGCTTGCCTTCCAAATCTTATTTCCACGCCTGCCTCCAATAGATTAAAACTATATTCAAAATGAATTAAGTTTGATAATTGATAAAAGTTTCTATTTTTTTAAAAGCAAAATTAATTTAAATAAGTACGGGTAAGCATCATTCACTTTCGTCATTACCGTATAAATCGTCGGTGTACATAGTATAACACCACACGAATAAAACGTTACTAAATATGTCATAATTATTATACCATCAATCAATTTAAATAAAGTAATATTTCCCTATTGAATATATAAATATTCAACGTTGATTAAAATTCAATAACATCGTAAATTATGGCATGACAAAATATTTAAAAAACCCAATACGTGTTCACTTTTCGTAGTGCATCAACAAACATTGGCGATGACTCCTCACTTTTCTTCATTTATTTATTTATTTATTATTTTTTAAATAGTTTTAATAAGTGAAAATTTATTCAATTGAATAATGTATCTTAAGATTAGTGTGGAACCTTTGGGTTTTCCCACCTTCCCCGTAAATAATGGTGTAGTTTATTGACAATTATTATTATCACCATTTAATAATTTATGTTATACAATAAATCTACGTTTATTTTGTATTAAAAAAAATAAGGGTAAATTACAACCAACTCTCTAAAATAAAGTGTAAATACCCAAAAAAAAAAACCCTTTTTTTTAGAAAATTACATCTAAACCTCTACAGTTTATAAATGTCTTACATCCACCCTTAAAAAGAGTGTAAATGTAATAAATCTACAAAATACAGGGGTTATATGTAATTATGAAAAGTAAGAAGTTTTTTCATAAATAGAATTTAGCTGAGAGAGATGATTGTAATTTACCTAAATAATAAATAAATAAATAACTCTACCTTTATTATTGCTCAATTCATTAATGAAATATGGTTATAAGTTAAACCTAGTTGTGGGTGGGTGTTTGACCACACTCTTTGGTTATTTTATTTAAAAGAATTACAAATTTAAAATTGGTGCCCTAAATTTACAAATTGTTATATATTTCATATTTGACAAGATACCTTATTTTTTTTCCTCCTTAGCAAGAAAACCGTCCTAGCTAGAACAACTAGTCAATGTTTAATTTTGACTTTTACCTGCCGAAATTTACGGGTCGGACAGAAAATCGGGTATGAATGTGAAAGTGGGCCGGGTATGATTTTTGGGCCCACGTACTGCCAAAGCAAGTGAGTTTCTTTCTGGCTTCTGCACTTAATTCTTTCCTTGACATTGTACTTTTCCCAACAGCCCAACACCAAACACCTTTAAAATCATATGACCAATTTGCCCTTGCAAAATATATTTTTAGTGTAAATTACAAATCGCCTCCCCCTGAGGTAATGTCTATTTACAAAAAAACACTCATTGTTCCATAATTGCCCCCACCCCTGTAATTGATAGATTTCTTACGTTAACGCATTTTTGTAGGAGATGAATGTAACTAATTTACAAACTGCTAGGGGCTGTTTGTAATTTCTCAGGACGGTTATTGTAACATGAATATAATAGACTAAGGTTGTGTTTGGTTATCTTTCTATAATTTGGAATTAACTATTTCGAAACGATTTCATTTATTTTAAGATGTGAATAATTAATTCCAGATACATTCCAAAAGAAATGAAATTTTTTTGTTCTAAAATCGACTTCTTTCCGGATAAAAAAGGCCGAAATCATAAACTCTATTTATCTGATTCATTTACGTGCTGACACTACAAGTGTAATTTCGAAAGAGAATGAAACTTCTGAAATAACTTCTTGTCTATAATTAAAATCGAGTAGTACTTAAATCAAAATCCAATTCCGATCAATAAATATTTCCGAAAAATCAGAAATCTAAATTTTCAAGATTCGCAATAAAAAATAATCGATATTTAATCCGATACTTTCGGATTGAAATCGACGAAATTATCGAACTCCATTCAATTTTCTTATCCTTGTGCGAAATTATTATGATTCTCTTAATTAATGATAAAAAAAAAAAAAAATCTACACACAAGGGCATTAAAGTACAATCACACACCATCCACATAAAATAAAAGAAAATGAAAGTTATTATCGGTGGGAGAAAAAACAAGAAAAAAGCTGGAGAAAAAATGGAAAGTTGGATGGCGAGAGAATCATGAATGAGTGTATTCAATATTGAACAGAGGAGCGTGTTTCCAGAAATCTGCCCTGTCCCTTCTCTCTCTCTCTCTTCTTTCTCTCTCTCTCTTATTTCTTTTCTAGGAGTGTGTACAATTACCATGTGGGCCACACTGGGACTCTCTTTCTTTCTCTCTTTGCAAACGTTTTCTTCTTCGTCTCGTCTGTTTTGATTCCCTTTTGCTCTGTTTTGTGTGCTTTTAATTTTTTTTTTTTCTTGTTGTAACAAA